GTCAACCTACTTTCTGAAGTTAAGGAGTTCAAAGCAGAACTGGCTGCTATCCGGGAGGGTATAGAAAAACGAGGTAGTACAAGCTTCAATCTACAGTACAACCCTGTGGGACGAGGAAGGGTACCACCTAGGGAGTGCCGGAGCTGTGAAAGACAAGGGAGAGGTACCCGTTGTAACCACTGTTTTAATTGTGGTGGTGTTGGTCACTTAAGATACCAATGTCTGAAGCCGAGTCGGGGAAACTTCAACCCAGCAAACTTCCCCGGAAACGAGCCAGGGTTGCTCCCACGGGGCAGGGAGAAACCTCTCAGACCCACAAGCAGTCCCAACAATGTGTAAACTGTGGAAAGGGGGAGGACTGGGCAGGAGGATACCTGCGCTGCTCGCGATACCATACCAGATATTACTGCTCAAAATTCTGTCTGAGGGAACATTAGAATGAACATAAGACACTCTGCCAGGCCATTAGTGAGGTTGAACGGAGGGAAAGGGAGCCCATGGCAGGTGCTGAAGCACTGAAAACGTCATTCCCATGACACCTAACCCCAAGACAACGCTCAAAACTCCCTAAATTGGTCTGACGAGAATGCATAGTCTCTTGTTTGGTCCAAGGGAAGAAAGTTAATGCCCTCTGGGAAACCGGAGCTCAGGTTTGTGTTGCGTCAAAGTGCTTGAAAGAAGTCAACTTGCCGAATGAGCCAGTTAGGGACATAATTGAGCTATTGGGGGAAGATGATTTAGGTCTACAAGCGGCGAACGGCACAAAAATCGAGTATGACGGCTGGATTGAGGTCGAGTTCCAGATAGGCTTTTGTACATTATGCTAGCATTTTTTCGAGCATTTTAGTGAGGCAAAAGCATTGAGCATTATTCAAGCATTTTAGTGGCATTTTCCCGGAAAATTAATTTTTTGCGAGAAAATAAAATAGAAATTAACTTGTTCAGTCCCGCTTTTAATTCACGAAACAACCTAATACAGCTGAGTGGAGCTGGAGACTGAGGATTAGTCAGCGGTTTTACCTTTCGAGACTCAGAAGGCGGCCATGTTTGTTTTCTTCGTGACCCGTGTAACTTACACGGGTCACGAAGAAAACATAAACCTGTATACGTTGTCGTTACTTGCAACACTTGTACGTAAGTGTAAACTTTCAAATTAATTTAAAAAAACCTTTGTATGATGAGCATTATCCGAGCACTTTAGTTACTTTTTTGGGGTAGACCGAGCATTTTAGTGGGAAAAATGGAGCACTAAGGTGGAGCATTTTAGTGGGGAAACAAAAGCATAATGTACAAAAGCCTAGTTCCAGATGGCTGGAGAGAATGGGCCCTCAGAACCATTAACAGTACCCACACTAATAGGAAGTCAAGATAACCAGGAGCATCTCATTATTGGTTTCAACGTCATTGAAGAGGTTATAAAGAGGAGTACTGACCCCAACGCTCACGAAGTACTATCCCAGATGGTAAACAATTCACTCCCATCTCTGAAAGAAGGGGAAGCAAGAATGCTGGTTATTCTTATCCATTCCCTGGACCGTGAGCCTGATACTGCAGTACTCAAGAGTTGGGAAACAAGACATACATGTTGCAACAGGGGGAACTGCAGAAGTCAAGTGCCAAGTACATTTTGGGCCACTGGAGGAAAACCTACCCGTAGTGTTTGAACTCAAAGAGGAAGGGGCATGGTCTGGTGGGTTGGAGGTTAAGGGTTGTCTACACCACATTAAACCAGGTTCTTCGAGTCATATATATATCCCAGTATCCAACAACACTGAACAAGGGATTACTCTACAAAAGCGAACAGAACTTGGCACTATACAGTTGGTGCAATCCCTCATGCCATTACCAGTTAAGACCGAGGAAGAACGGTTGAAATGTACGAGGACCAAGAATGAGCCAATCAAGTATGAGGAAAAACTCAGTAGGCCCGAACAAGATAACATGTAGTGGATCCCCCCAGTAGACTTGAGTCATATGTCGTGTGGTCAACAGGAGATTGTCTGGGAGATGTTGAGAGAAGAGTCTAGAGCCTTTGCTATGGATGATGATGACAATGCATGCGTTGAAGACTTGGAATTCGAAAGCAATCTAGTGGATAATGACCCAGTAAGAAAAACATACAATTCAATTCCAAAGCCCCTATACGGTGAGGTGAAATCACACCTGCAGGATATGATCAACCGTGGTTGGATAAGCAACTCGAAGTCACCATACTCATCCCCAGTGGTGTGCGTGCGCAAGAAAGATGGCAGTCTTAGATTATGTGTTGACTATAGACAACTGAACAGCAAAACCCAAGATGATCGTCCCCCTATCCCACGCATCCAAGACATCTTGAATAGCCTTAGTGGTAACACCTACTTCTCGGTGTTAGACCAGGGGAAGGCGTACCACCAGGGATTTGTAGCCGAAGAGCATCGACACCTGACAGCTTTCATTACCCCTTGGGGTTTATACCAGTGGAACCGCATTCCATTCGGCCTCCAAAACTCACCAGCAGCCTACCAGAGGTACATGGAGAAATGCCTGGATGGTCTACGTCATGAAATATGCATCCCTTATCTCGATGACATCCTCGTGTATAGCGGAAAATTCTGTGAACATGTAGACAACCTGAGAAAAGTGCTTAGACGTTTGCAGGAGGATGGCATGAAGTTGAAGCCAAAGAAATGAGAATTGTTTAAGCCCCTTGTTCGTTACTTAGGAAAAATAGTCTCGGCGGATGGTTACACGATGGACCTTGCTGATGTTGCAGCAGTAGCAGCCCTTAACGAAACTAAACCGCAAACCATTGGCACACTGCGTAAACTCCTAGGTTTCATCAGTTATTACCGTAATTATATTCAGGACTTCTCCAGGCTAGCCAAAGCCCTATATGATCTATTGTCGGCCAAAGACGGCAGCAGCCAGTTCCACATAGCCAGGAGACCGCAAGAACACTCAAAGTTTAAGCCTTCCCCTCCGAAAGGACCGCTGCCGTCAAATTACAAAATTGTTTGGAATGAAAACACCAATAGCGATTAAACTCCCTAATTGACCGGCTAATGCAACCGGGGTAATGGCTTCTCCTAATTTTGAACTCCCGTTTGTACTACACACAGATGCTTCAGGTGAAGGGCTTGGGGCGGTGCTCTACCAGGAACAAGGAAGCACACTGAGAGTTGTTGGATACGGCTCAAGAACATTGACACCTGCGGAACGTAACTGCCACTTACACTCCGGGAAATTAGAATTTTTGGCCCTAAAGTGGGCGATCACTGACAAATTCAGAGATTACCTGTTCTACGCTCCGTCTATTGTTGTCTTCACTGACAATAACCCACTAATATGGGTCGCATGGTCGAGTGGTCAGCGTGTCGGACTTGCAATCCGCCGCTCCAGGGTTCAAGTCCCGCCCTGGCCACTAACTGGATTTGTTACACGGTAGCCCCGAGTTTCAAATCCTCGGCCATGCTTGTAATATAGCCAACTGGTTTGCCTTCGGCCAGTTGGGATTCTTAATAATGTTATTTTCAATTTGAATTATTTGTTTCAGTTGTTTTGTGGAAAACCTGTAAACTAGCTTCTAGCTAAGTGTTTCTCCACGTTAAACTGTTTTTATTATTAATTATTATTATTAACATATGTGATGTCATCCGCAAAGCTGAATGCCACGGGACATCGGTGGGTAGCTGAGTTAGCAGACTACAACTTTACAATCAAGTACCGAACAGGCAAATCCAATGTGGATGCAGACATTTTGTCGAGAATGCCATTAGATATGGATGAATACGTGCGATAGTGCACCGAAGAAGTCCCCAAAGATGTCCTTGAAGCAACTATGCTAACCTTTAGGGAACAGGCAAAGGGTACCACCCCATGGGTAACTGCTATTTCCGCTGACACGACGACCCCTGAACCCACATTAAAGGACCTGCATCTGAAATCCTTTAGCCCACGGGAGATTAAAGAAGCACAACAATCAGATAATGCAATACGTTACACCACCCACTACAAGACCCATGGTATTAAACTGGGTAGAGGCCAACTGCAGAATGCACCTCAAGGCGCTGCCAACCTTATGAGAGAATGGAAGAAACTGGTAGTTGATGAACAGGGTATCCTGAGACGAAGAACAGCCTCTAGAATCCAGCTAGTTCTACCACACGCCTTTATCCTATTGGCCCTCAATGAACTGCACACTGAAATGGGACACCTAGGTGTGGAGAGAGTTGCCGAACTGGCAAGATCCCGCTTCTACTGGCCACATATGTACCGTGATATAGAGTACTTTGTGACACAACAATGCAGATGTATCAAACAAAAAAAACCAAGCACACTCACTAAAGCGCCAATGCACCACCTCACGACCTCAGCACCATTTAAAGTGATTTCCATACATTTCCTAAATTTGGACAAGAGCAAAGGCGGATATGAATACGTGCTACTGATTGTCGATAACTTTACCAAATATACCCAATCCAACGCAACACGCAACAAAACGGCCCGTACGGCTGCTGAGAAGATATACAATGAGTTTATCCCGAGGTTTGGTTTCCCAGCGCGAATACATCATGAGCAAGGTGGTGAGTTCGACAACAAATTGTTCCACAACTTCGAGCGTCTCAGTGGAGTTTCTAGTTCACGAATCACTCCATACCATCCCCAAGGTGACGGCCAGGTAGAACGCATGAACTGCACCTTACTCTCGATGCTAAGGACCCTCCCAGAGGAAAAGAAAGCGAAGTGGAAAGACTCCTTAAACAAGCTCATCCATGCTTACAACTGCACACGACATGAAACCACTGGGTTTTCTCCATTTTATCTAATGTTTGGCCCTTCTCCGCGATGACCGATTGATTTGCTGTTCGATTTGTCTTGTTATAATCAGTATCATGTCCCTGAGATACTGGTCAGCAGATAGTGAGGCGCAACGCATGCGCATGTTCATGTAATCAGCTGGGTAACCGCCATTAAAACATATGAGCTGTTTATTCTCATTTCTGAGTGCTCTTCGCTGCCTAATAGCAGCGCTTCTCAACAATTTGGATAATAGTCTTCACCACGGTGACTACCCAGACTATGTGAAGACATGGCAAGCAAGCATGAAACAGGCCTATGACATTGCCTCAAGGAATACTACGAAATCATCAACCAGAAGTAAAGCGTATTATAACAAAAAGGCTTCTGCTGCGGTCCTGCGCCCTGGTGATCGCGTCCTTGTTAGAAACCTGTCCGAAAGAAGAGGACCTGGAAAGCTTCGCTCATACTGGGAAGAGCAGATATACGTAGTTGATGAACACATATCAGATAGTCCAGTCTATAAAGTAAAACCGGAACATACCCGTGGAAAACAGCGAGTACTGCATAGTAACCTGCTCCTTCCGTGTGATGCTTTACCCCTTTCAACTCGCCCGCGAAATTTGCCCAGAAGCACGCAACTGAGATCTCAATCGACACCCCCATCTGCAGAAACTGGGGAGAGCTCTGATGATGAATACCTAATGGACACACCGTGCCACCCGACCCCCTACGAGACGGCGTCCCCCGAGGAAATAATATCAGAAATCCCGGTCATTCACCCCCAAGATCAATCCAATAGTGAAGGCTATACCGAAGGGTCAGATAACCCCTCCAGCGAGCAATCTGACCCTCATGCAGATAGTAGGGGCTCATCGGCGCCAAATTCATGTGAGCACGATTCACATGATATCGACCCCGCAGTCAGTGACAAATCAGATTCGGAGGACCACCCAGGAGCGGCTACGCGACCACGAAGGGAGCGGCTACCTCCAGTGACTTTAACCTACAGTCAAATGGGAGAGCCCGAGTATACACGTCTACAGCCAGTGGTAACTTCAATCCAAGGCCCTCCAGTTACATCTCCCTACCAGACCATCCGCCATTGCCTCATACCTTACCACACCCCACAAATCCCGTATATCCCGCAGTTGCAGTATATACCACAGCCCGTATGGATACACCAGCACTGATCACTGTTATTGTCGCATCTGATCGCTCCACGTATTAATCATAGGCGAACAGAACTGTGTTGAATTCTTACTATTTTCCCTATTATTGCCAAACAGAAACTCAACAAGCACTACGGGTTTGAAGTCGGGGCACTAACACCCCCCCCAAGTTATCACCAAGATGACTTGTCGTGTTTTATTTTCTGTGTTGTCGGGACGACATTTTTTTTCGTGAGGGGGTGTGTGTAGTAAGCAGGACGAGAGTAACTTGGACTAGCCCAGGTGATTATTATGGGATTAAAAAAGAAAAGGATCCCACGAGGAAAACAAGACGGTGAAAAACGACAGTCGAGGAGAACGTTACTGTTTGTTGTGTTAGCTATTTAGCGTGATTAAAGTAGTGTGCAAGAGATCTGCCTCACCTCGCTTTGTGACCGGTCTGGAAACTGGCGCCATAATCTCCACCGTAGTCGCAACTTGGTCAGCGACGTTTTCCCGCGCTGTGGGTTCTTGCATGTTCCTTTGCTTCGAATTCTTATTGGCTCTTCGTGGTGTTGAATTTTTTCTGATTGGCTGTGTTGATTTCTTTTCTTTTTTTTTTTAATGACAGCCGAACGGAAAGGGCCCTTTTACCTTTCTGCGTGGTCATCATGATAGTCGCTCCTCTTTTCGGCTTTTATTTTCAGAATTCGTGATTTCATGATTGGGGTGACAGTAAAATGAGGACTCGGGACACACTGTTTTAAGTTCAACATAAACTTGTTTTTAACCGAGAACGCACTCAGAAGAATCCTTGGTCCGTATGCAACAACGAGTACAAAAAGTTAACTTTAAAGTCATTTCTAAATCAAAGCGACCAGTTAAAATGTAATCAAGTTGTTTTCGTAACCACAAGACGTTTAAGATTTTTAGTTATTAACCTCGTTTATATTGAACGTACTCAAAAATAGTGTGATTAGTTTTTGAGGCATACCATGTGGCGTGGAAACTTTTCAGGTTCAATATTTAGCAGATGTCGCAGTTTGTCCCCGATAAGAATAAACTACTTCCGCAAAGAATGAAAATGATGATGACAAAAAATAATGTTAATGAAAACAATCAAGCATAAAGTAAAACGCTGTATGGATTGAATACAATAAGTTTAATTAAAAAGCAGTCAAGAGGATTAGGCAGGGTAAAGTGAAAACTGCTTTGCTGCTTTGTCAGTGTTTTCTGACCTTTTTGACCTCCCTGACCTTTCTGACCCTCAAAGGCTGAGAGCAATTTTCGATTGAGTGTCATAAAAACCGAAACCAAATAATCATAATGGCCAATCAAAAAGAGGAAACACCTTGAAATGACGATGACAACTCCTTACAGTGGGGGAAAACGAGGGCGACCAAGCGACCAAGTCTTGATTGGTTTTAGTCTTGCATCTGATTATTGGAGAGGGTGATGCGAATTCTCGGAGCGAAGTAAAGCAAAACCATTGCAATCTCGGTTTACTTTCGATACTCAATAACTATAATAGATTTCAACAAAAGGTGTCCGAGAAGTAAAGTGTCAGTGTTGACTCAACAAGCAATAAAAGTCATGAATATTACGTCTCCTTCTTTGTTCATGGCAAACAGTAGTTAGCAGCTTACATTTCAGTGGCTTAAGCCACAGAAATTTGTTTCCAAAGGGAAGAGAATAAAAAAATTGTTAATCTGCAAAATGAAACTGCAAAATTTTCATGCTATTTGGTAGCCTCTCTCTTCAGTTTTTCCGGCTTTGTTTTATACTGGCGCAACAAGGAGCCTTTGAGTGCCACTACCCTTCTTTTTTATGTTACACTGATTGTACTTAAGTGAGTTATGAAGCAAATGTTTCCGCCTCATACTTGTGCTCCCTTTGACTTTAATGAAGCTGAGCTCAGTCCAAAACAGACAATGTTTGCATCTTTGTATCTTTCGTTTGAAAGTTCTCTACTGAAAGAAAACTCGTTTAAAAACCAGATTTTAACTTTTTACGTTTCGGGCTGTAGATTTCTGATTAACAATGAATCTTACAGCGACATGCAATTCTCATCCGTCTGCTTGCGCATAGTGAAATCAAATAAAATTAAATTAAACTAGTGTATGTAGTGTGAACACCTATTAGCAACGTTCGGAAGGGAAAAACATCTTTAGAAAGAGGTTGTAGCCCTTCCACGGCAACTGTTTGAGTTCCTACTTTGAAATGATGCCCTGTGTCGCTCAGGTTGTTCCATCCCGTGGCGACGGAACACCAAGCTGTAGGCAGCAGCCTTGAAATTAGGGATCCGAAACCAGTAGATGAAAATGCTGCAAGTAGAGTTGAAGAAGTGCAGGAGTTTGACCATGCTCACGAGTCGGACGTTATGACTGATGGTTTGCGCGACCAGGTCGATGGCGCTCATAATCATGAAAGGCAACCAGGCTAGTAAAGACACTATTGTGACGATCAAGACGGTGACAGTAAAGCGATTGTTACGCAGTTCAGTTTCCTCGTGACCACGAAGATTTCGTGCCAGCCATTTCATTCTGCCCAACAGGATGGAATATGACACAGCGATGACCAGAAGTAGCAAAGTAAGGAATGGCATCCAAACAAAGAAAGCAACCATGCTGGAGTCAAGGACATGGAAACCAACCAGAGTCACCACAGGGATGCACACTGCAAAAAACCACACCATAATAATGAGCTGCGTGCTGATCATCCTTTTACTGCTCCTGTATTTGAAAGGCAACAGCGTGGCTATTAGGCGTTCTATAGCGATGCAGCCATGATTGGTAACAGAAGCGAACGCTCCTCCAATATCCAGGCCAGAGTAGGCGATCTGACTGGCCAGATGAGTGCTATCTGGCCAGAGGTTGGCTTGTACTCCAAAGAAGTACACCCAGCCAGGTATGGGTACTATAGCCACCAGCAGATCAGCTACAGCTAAATTAACCAGAAGGATGGACGTTTGTACCCGGATGCGCTTGTTGGTGAGAAATATGGCAATTGTAGCCACGTTGCTTGTAATGGCCACCGCGGCTTCCAAGCTGAAGATAACGCACCAAGCTATGGCTTCGCCTAGCGCTATCGGTGAAGCTACGGGACCACTGGAGTTATCTGATACTCCCATTTTGTACTGCTAAAAAATGGATAACGTCATGAGAAAATAAATGCAAATAAAAACAAAAACAAACAAGCAACAACAAAAAATCAGGAAATGAGAAAGGGTATAGAAGGCGCTGATAATAAAGTTATTCAAAAAGACATTTCTTCCAGAGATCGGCAACATTTCGTTGAAGAACAATCATTTTCAGACAGAAACGTTTGGGAAACTTCCTCAACGAAAACGGACTCGGAAATTTTGGAATCGCATTCTCCTGCTTTATAGATATCTGCTTGCAAATTCTGAATTATCATTCTTGATCAAATTTTTGTTATTACAGTGAACAATGTATATTCTTTGAAAAATCTGAGAGCATATTTATTCCAAATTACAGTAAAAAAATTATGTGGGCTCATGAGTACGTACCAATGACATATATGAATACATTTTGAGGTGTTTACTCGTGACATTAAGCGTACAGTCAAAACAAGTGAGTGCAATCTTAAAAAAACAATTTTCTTGTTTTGTTTTTTTTTTTCTTTCAGTATTTCCGCCGCAAAAAAGGCCGGAGCCTGGATAGACAGTTCGTCATCTTTTTTGCTCTGAATCTTCTCTTTTTCTCTCTTTTTTACCCCTCACCATTCTGCTTCGAGTTATCAGAAAACTGAAATTCCCCCAGCCAATCACGTACATTGACATATTTAAAGCAACTTTGTCTACGTATTTTCATGGAGTCAATTCTTTCAAAAATGTAAACAGCCCTTTGCCCCTTAAGAACAATCGTGGAAGTAACGAACTATTAACCGCAAAAAAACAAAAAAAAATAGAAAAACACTCGAAACCTTCTTTATTATCTGTTTTATAACTTTTTCATCGTAGTAAATAGATTTAATCAGTTTCTTCCTGTTTAATTACTCACTTTCTTTTGTCCGGTTTGTATTTCTACGGCTTAACAGTAAAAATAAAAACATTCCACGAAATTGTAAGATCAGATAAGAAAGTGTCACTCTGGTCACAATATTTTGCCACACGGGATGACAAAAACAACCAGAGCGGCGAAGCAGATAAGCCGTATGCATCCGGTTAACAGTAAACGGAGCGTAGACATGAAGGCGTAAACACAACACATGTTTAGCTGCCCACATACTGGTATTTCTTTCGTTGATCAACACAGAGAGGTCTCATGATTGTCTGGAGATTTTTAAGACTACCCCCACGGTAATTAAATAGCGTTGTTTGACTGTAGAAATTCATATGCACCATAATGCAAAATTTAGTCTATTTCTTCGGTTTTAGTCGTTTCGGGAAAAAACGAGTAGAGAATCACTTTTATGCTCAGTTAGTGATAAAAAGAAATAAAACTGATCAGATCGTAGAAATTGCTGAAAGATTAAGAATTAGCTTTCGGAAAATATCACGGTGATTAAATCTAAAGAAAAATAGAGTGAACCGGAAGTAGAATATGAGCTTCATATGATGCACGATCCTCGCAGTAGATAGCGCTATTTAAGCAATAGCGAAAATCAGACCTGAAAAAAATCAGGCCTGTACGGGATTCGAACCACGTCAGTACAAAATATATGAACTTCATATATTTCATTGTATCTCAATTTGAGCTTCGTCAAGGAGGGACCAGTGTAGCGGCACAGGTAAACAACTGAACAACTGTCCATCTGGTTTCTCGCTCAATTAATTGTCTGCGAATAGCGGATTCAATATAGAAAGAATGTCGAAAAACAGCGAAAAAAAATTAAAAAATTAGTTTTTTAAAGTACTTGTACGTCATAAACATAACTTAGAATGGTTATGGACGACAGTTAGATGATAGCCGAAATATGACAAAAAGCGAGAGGGAATAGTCATTTCTGTAGAAAAGGAAAAAATTGAAAGGGGAGTCGTGGTAATGTAAAAAAGTGGTAACAGGGTTTATCTTCAACTTCTCTATAAACTGTTGCAGTACTTTAGAAATTATTTTGTAATGTCAAGGCTGAGCCTGTCTAAAAAGTTTAAAATGATGATTTAAAAAATATTAATAAAATACAGGGTTACGGTAAGACATGTTCATTATCCCAAATTGTGCCGGGTAGACATCTTTAGTTTCCCTATTGTCCAATCGATATTAAAAGACAAGCTTGTTTCAACTAGGCAACCCAGTGGAACTCAGTAGACCATATACAGCGACTGAGATCCTTCTTCCGGCATAGGCCAACAACGATTCTGGTAAGTCACACAGCTTACTCACCTTTTAGGACTGCAAGACTTGTGGACGCACTTAGCTGCTAATGTTGATTCGCTCGATTGGCGTAAACTCTAAGCTTTACCTAAGCTCAAAAACAGGAATAAAGCTTCCCAGCTGTTACCGTCACTGATACACCTGGACGGGAAAAACACCCAGATTAAGATCAGTCCCCAAGGCGTAGCTGAAACTAAAATCGCTTTGATTTTTGCCATTCCTTTCGGGTAAATTTGCGCAACGAAAATGCTGAAGAAATGCAAACTCCGTCAATATCATAGCATACAGTAGTTTCTCTACGCAGCTATAAGATGGCTCTTTCATTCTTATCACGTAACGTGCATGACTTCCATGAGGCCTGGTGTCCATGGCACGCAGAGAAGATGATGTTATGAGAAACACGCAAAAATATTTGAAGACTTTAGGATAGTTTTCTTTATTCTAAACTAAGCTTAAAAAAAAAAACGAAGTGGAAAGTAAGTGGTAAACTTTGTGGATGGGCTCATGAAAGAAGCCATGTTTTTTAAATATCGCTTTCGGAATAATTCCTCTAAGGGTGTTGCGTAGTTCTCTCTTCGAAAAATTTTTTTCTGGGCCCTCATCTTATGGAAGTTGCGACATGTATTTTCAGTCAAAGATTTCAAAGAGGTTGCCGGTACAGTATTTGTTTTGGACAAAAATCTAAACGTTAAGAAAAATTTTGAGCATTCATTTGTTACAAAATTCATACAAGATAAGAGTTAACTACATCTCTCAAGGTGACTGTCTTCCATGATATTACACAACAAACATATGAAATACATATATATGAACTGCGGTTATGAAACGTATATGTGCACGATCCTTCGCAGTAAAGCACTATTTAAGCAATAGTGAAAATCAGACCTGAAAAAAATTCAGGCCTGTACGGGATTCGAACCACTGACCTCTGCGATACTAGTGCAGTGCTCTACCAATTGAGCTAACAAGCCAACTGGGAGCAGGCCATCAAATTAATTCGACATAAACCCGTAGATGATAAATCAAACAACAAACATATGAAATACATATATATGAACTGCGGTTATGAAACGTATATGTGCACGATCCTTCGCAGTAAAGCACTATTTAAGCAATAGTGAAAATCAGACCTGAAAAAAATTCAGGCCTGTACGAATTTTTTTTCAGGTCTGATTTTCACTATTGCTTAAATAGTGCTTTAGTGCGAAGGATCGTGCACATATACGTTTCATAACCGCAGTTCATATATATGTATTTCATATGTTTGTTGTTTGATTTATCATCTACGGGTTTATGTCGAATTAATTTGATGGCCTGCTCCCAGTTGGCTTGTTAGCTCAATTGGTAGAGCGCTGCACTAGTATCGCAGAGGTCAGTGGTTCGAATCCCGTACAGGCCTGAATTTTTTTCAGGTCTGATTTTCACTATTGCTTAAATAGTGCTTTACTGCGAAGGATCGTGCACATATACGTTTCATAACCGCAGTTCATATATATGTATTTCATATGTTTGTTGTTTGATTTATCATCTACGGGTTTATGTCGAATTAATTTGATGGCCTGCTCCCAGTTGGCTTGTTAGCTCAATTGGTAGAGCGCTGCACTAGTATCGCAGAGGTCAGTGGTTCGAATCCCGTACAGGCCTGAATTTTTTTCAGGTCTGATTTTCACTATTGCTTAAATAGTGCTTTACTGCGAAGGATCGTGCACATATACGTTCCATGATATTCTTCGACATACCAACTTTAGTGAGGTATTGATTTACCGTTGGTTGAGTTTTTTTCTTTCCGCAGATAACATGCTCGGAATTCTTGTAGTAAATATTTGTATTAAAAAAAAAAAAAGAAGGTAAGTCTTTAAGGCACCTCCATTTACAAAATTTGGTAGTGTTAATCCCTTCCATTCAGCTTGGCTCTAAAAGCTGCCACTGTGCGATGCGAGGCCGCTCCGATGTTTGTTCATGGACTGACCGTTTGACCGCTGTGTTTGGTTTCCAGGCTTATGCTTAATCGTGTGTGTCAAAAGTAAGCACTTTCGTGAAACACACGCAGACCGTAAGTTTGAAGACGACACTGACATTGCAAAACTGCTAGGGTTTACCTTAGTTTCTCAACAATGAGCCAAAGAAGAATATCATTTTCCTTGATGAGATGTTTGTCCCCCCACCAACTCTAGTTCCTGGCATGTCCAACAGGATTTTCCTGATCCACTCACCTCGCCCGCTAATGCATAGGAGAACATACTTGTTTAGACCCTAAGGGAAATCGTTTTACTGATGGTACATGCTCACCAGGTCGCAAGACCCCGTAATTACTTGACCCTCTACACGCATATTCTCCATACTGTTCTTTCTAAATTTCCTAAGTGCTGACAAGGAGAATTTGTTTGACAGTCAAGAGCGTCTCAAGTTGGTGATCATTTCATTTATTCTTGTGACCTTTATGTGTGATTCAGGGGTGAGATTGTAAGGAGATCTCAGATGCTGGTCAAACTGAGGAATCAAACGGTTTCGTCTTAATGTGAGAGTTATTATCTCGCTCAAAAACATAGAGGATAGTCAAATTAAGACAGCCTTCTGATGGGCGTCAACTTGAGGAGTTTATCATTTATTTCGCTATATACAAGTGCCTTATCTAATGAATCTACTCCCTCCATTATATTATTTTATATTATTTTACTACAATCCTTAAAAGGTTACAAAAGAAAAAAAAAAGAAATTACAGCTCATTTCGGGTTTTAGAAGGAATATTATCTATCTCAAAGTTATTTTTCACCTTCCTTCTGAGAAATTTTCTCAAACAGCTCCATTCGAGCATTTTCAGGCAAATGTAGGAACAACGGACTGCGCAGAACTTGTAAATCTCCTTCAATTTTTAGTATAGCATCTTTAATCTCATTGTATCTCCTAATGTCAAATACTTTTCTCTTCGAAAGCTTGTGGAAAAACAGTAAAAACTGCCTATCTCTGGCATCGGGGTAAAGGAATTCCTGAAAAAAAAAGTGAAATAACTTTATATGTCGACCCATGACGACTGCAAACTCTTCTTATTCATTTTTTAAAACTCTTTTAGTTTGGTGTTTCCTCATTATACCAAACAACAAGAGCGTTTTACAGTTGTGTGTACTCTGTAACGTCACGCAACGCAATCTCCTCCAAATGCACATCGCACGACGAGACCAAATGTAGCGACGCAGATTCTTACCTAGTCTCCTTCGCAGCTGTTCAACAGGATGCCAAGTAACGCCCCTCCCTTATTAACATCTCTTAGGGGAGGAGACCATTTCTTACCTGTCTCGTCAGCACAAAGTAAGCGTAGCAAGCCATGGCAGTTCCATATCCCACAAAATACGTGACAGGTTCCATAATATCCCAGGAGTACTCCCACCAAGTCAGCCTCGCCAACAGACCAAACTGGAATGCCATGTATCCCAGCCCACCCCACACGGCAAAATTGGTTCGTTGCGCTGATTTGCGGTCGATTTCGGCTTTAAGATCTTCCATTGGCTTGATTTCTAGTTGAAGTTTTTCTAGCTCTGCCATCAGAAAACGTTCTTTTTCCAGCTTAAAGAAAAACAAAGCTACAATATTGAGTTACATAGAAATTGTAAATGTTTTGAAACGAGGCCCAGTGTGAATCCATTTACGTGAACAACAATTTTCGTTATCATGCAAAACAATGTTTGCACAGGATATGGGCTACATTTGGCCTCATGTTTTTCAATTTAGACAACACTGTTATCACCTGTTGTTTTAAATTTTTTATGGTATGTTTTGCACCCCCCTCCTCTCACATTTCCCATAATTGCCATCCAAGCTATTGTGGGAAAATCTAGCTCAATAACCGTCAATTACAACTATTTTGTGGGGGGTAACAAGGTTCAAATCAGATAGCATATGGTTCATTTGAATAGACAGAAACTGGGACAGCTTTATCAGCAATGCAGTTTTCAGTTTCTCAACAAATTTTTTTACACCAATATAAATAATTAACCAAATCATAAATCCATAAGTTCCATTTTCAACATAGTAAACAGTTACAATGAATATATGAAGTTCATATATTTTGAACTGCGGTATTAGATACGTATGATGCACGATCCTCGCAGTAGAGAACGCTATTTATGCAATAGCGAAAATCAGACCTGAAAAAAAATAAATTTTTTATAATTTTTTCAGGTCTGATTTTCGGTATTGCATAAATAGCGCTCTCTACTGCGAGGATCGTGCATCATACGTATAGTAAACAGTATAACATAAAAAAGAAGACAAATGAAAGCATGTTAATCCACAAAAAGAGTCAACTCATACCTGATGTTGTTCTATATTCATAGCACTGTACAACTGGTGAACCAAGGTTTTAACATGTGCAACTGTTTTGAAGTCATCAATAGGAGGCTTGGCTACAAGTCAGAGTAAAGGCATTGAATTTGTGTGGCAAAATGAAAAATCAGTAAAATGTACACACCAAATCAGTCAAACACTGTTGGCAGAAGTCTTGAATCTCTGCTCTCTGTACAATTTTATGGGGTAGACAGTATGCTCTGGTTAACTTCCTCTTAATTCCACTCTTGTTGTCTTAAAGTTAGTTGTTAATCCTTTGGAATGTGACAAGATTTTTAACTTGGGAAACTTTGGACACAGGATCCAAAGTTCAGGTTTGAAAGCTGGCTGTTGTGTTCCTAAACATGATATTTTGATACTGTAGTGCCTCTCACCAACCAGCAATTTGTTTTTCAAGATAACAAGTCAATTACCAGAGAAAATGGAAAATATCCCTTAGGGTGGGGAAACCCTGAATGAACTGCCATTCCTTCTAACATTAAGAGAAAAACCATGCTACTGATAACAAATATGCTACAGAAAGTATGACAAGCTCTAAAGATGCGGGCCAGGAGAACTTCAACTGAAGAGAACATATGGAACATTTGCAGTTTGAAGGATATTGCATCTTTCTACTGGTAATGCTATTCCATAATTTCATATTAAAAATTCAACAAAAAGTTACTGACTGCAGTTTAAAATAGACCTCCTTTTAACCAATAGAACCCCCCCTGAAAATTCAGTAGAGCAGTCACAGACTCCTGTTCCAATTGAAAAAACTTTAAATGTGAATTTATTGATAGTGTTGCTTATCAGATCTAAGATTGCAAAATAGTGCCAAACACAATTGAGGTACTACTAACAATTCTCACTGCTTAACACATGGACAAGGGAGGTTCCTTGAGTACAAAATGGGGCCTAATGGAGAGGAGGGTTAAACCAACATTTTTGTAATATAATAATGATAACCATTATCCTTATTGTGTCCCAATAACACTTACTTTCATCTGGTACTGATACAAAATATGAGTTGTCATTCAAAACCACTTTAAAATCAGACTGCAGTAACACATCAACCCCTGTGCTCCCAGAAATTCTAGAGCCATCAACATTGTAAACCATTGCTCTTTCAATTCCCTTGTCTTCTTGTTGTATGTTTTCCAGGAGGTCTTTAACAGTGTGAGTCAGTGGGCGTAGAACAAATTCACACTGTTCTCTCCTTGATGGTAAAGGAAATGAAATGACTGGAAAACCACTTTTAAACCCCACAGAAACATTATCTGTTGAAAAGAAAAGTGCATTCCCTTTGTTTAGAATCTTATCCTTGTACAGTCCAACCAAAATTATTTAGACTTGTGGGGACTGGGTTGAGTAGTCTGATAATTGGGAGCTTTTTACAACCTCATTATGGAATCGTGCCCATTGAAAAGTGTCACCTGGGAAAAGTGGGGTACCCATGGTGCTTTGTGGGCACAATGACCTGGGAATGAGGTTGCAAAAGCTCACCGCCAGCTTTGGTCTCTTAAAATTTCGCTTTGTGTCCGTTTAGAGACAATGGAGACACAATTGGAGCAATTAGTATTGTTTGAAAGCGATGAAATGCTCTCTTTGTTGGTAAAGAGCAAGGGCTGCGTATACTTAAGCTTATCGAAAAGTAAATAGACTTTACCGACATGTTAAATGAAACTGACGGCAACAATGGGCTAAAAAGGAATATTTCTGTAAATTATGTTATTTTGCTTTCATGGCGAAACTGATGGTCAAACCTCATAAATCTGCCGCATTTCAGTCTTAACACAAATTAAAAACCCAACATTTAAAAGGTAATTTAATTTTACATCTGACTGATTTTTAAACAATATAGCCTAATCAAGATAATGCTACTAATTATGTCTATTCTTCTTGAATGAGTAGTGCTATGTTTTGGTTGTCTGAGCAAGAAACAATACTTGCAAACATAGCGTACATGGGGGATTACATGATTGACAGTCGGATTGACAGGTCTGTGCGAAGTTATTCATGCTCTCTTTCTCTTTTCTAGCTTATTTGCATTTTCCAGTGCGATAGTTTTAATGGGCCGGATTCCGTACTGTACAATGCTGATGCAAAGCAGTTTGTTAAAGAAGCTGCTACAGCTTTTACACCTCAGTAATTCTATCATTTTTTGAAGCTCCTTGAATGGAATAGCATCAGCATTGTTTCAGTACATCTACATTGTTTGATGAAAATAAGTTCTTACTGGTCTTGAAACATGACTAGTTCATATTTGCGAAAAAATGGGACCAGACAAATAAGTCCGCATAAGGGCCCATTTGTGAATTACCTCAAGCCTCTTTTTCAAAGTGAGTAATTTTTTCATTTTCACAAGATTGGCTGAGCAGCAGACCTCATTTTCAAATAGAGGCCAAGAAAAATTCAGAAATGGCCTGAGGTCCTGATAATTGAGGTCAGGATAATCAAAGTTTGTCTGTATTGCTTTGTAAATTGGTTTAACATACATTACCCCTACACATAAATTATGGGGTAAAGTTAACTTGAACTATGGATGTAACAGTTTTCAATTAAGTATCAATACTAATGCTTTCTAGTATGTCACCTGGCTGAGAGGTTGTCCCCAAAATTTCACAGATACCCTCAAAACTTTGCTTCTCTGCCAAATATTTATTCCTCCCACAACAGCTCAACCATGGACATTGTCAGCCAACATAATAGCCACCTGAAGGGGTTACTAACCATTCCCACTTTCGGCTGGAGGATATTTGGTTATGTGATGCATATAGACCGATCATGTGCAATAAAAAACAATTGACAGATTATTATAGGCTTGTACATTTGTCCTTAGACATTATCTATCCTTTGTAGAGGGTCCCCAATACCCGTTGTAAAACTCAGTCATGTAAAAATATTTGGCCTTTTCACACATCAAATAATATCTGATACTCTTTGACATTTACATGGAAATTTGAGACAATCACTTGAATTAAAATTTTAACTTTTTCTAATTTTGACCAGTCTTATGCAATAAAAGATGATATATAGTATGTCTTATCTTATTTGCTCAAGAACCATTAGTGGTTTGTTTTATGACTTTTATCGACCCATATCAAGTCCATCTCCTATGAAAACTCTGGTGAAAACCTAACCACAGCCAATCAAAAACAATACCTTAATTTCCAAAATAATAAATTTAAATAGCTGGAAATTCATCATGCAAAAAAAAAAAAAAAAGGTTCACGAATCATGTTTAATTCAGCTCTTAATTCACAGGTCAGGTTTAAATAAGAAAATTAATTCAGGTGGACATGAAAATATTTTATTATCTTTAATCACGATTCACGAATAAAGAAAAAATCAAATCACGATTCACGGGAAAAAAATCACCCAATCGCCCTTCACATAAAAAGTATAGGTGACCATCTTGATAGCTTGCACTTTTACCCAAGCTTCCCTATCAGAAACCTGTTGGCATTAAGCAACAGATAATGTGCGTGGAAAAATGGCAAGAAAAAATGCATACTTCATTATGCATACATTTCTTGGATAAAAGAAAGCAGAGGCAAGACAACAGATTACCTTTGGGAATACGGCTTTGTTTTTGACTGATACGGGGTTATACGGAAATCTTTCCTTGAAAAATCTCCAAGCATATTATTGCGCAAAATGGATGCTGTTGTTACAAATTCAAGAAGTTTGCCCAGCCTGTCACATCCATTGGGTGGTCTGCCCGTGCTCTATCAAGTTCAAAAATAACTACATGGACTGATAATTAATCTTTCCAACTAAAAAGAATTATAGATGGAATTTCCAATCATATTCCATCTGCGATACTTAAGAACTTATTTACCAAAAAGAAATGGATTTTGCCGTGTAAACAACTGCCGGTTGAAGTAGTATCATAGTGATCTACACACGTACTCGATTAACAAAGCTACGATTTCCCTTTTTACCGTAAGATATATCATTTTAATGCAAATACGCTTCAATACTACAGATACATTTCTCGGAGATACGAATAAATTCAATGTCTTCCGACAAGCTGCAAGTTTAAAGTTGAATGTCAACTTACCGCTCCTACTTAGCGAAGAAACGAAAATCCAGTGTTTCGGCGTCTTATTCCAGACGCTTTTACTTAGTCGTGTTCCCTGAGGCAAAAATGAACAAATGTGCAACGATAAAATTATCAACTTTACATACAGTGGGACCAAAACACTGCGAAGATTTCGAATTCACAATTTTTCATGGTCTTGAAAGAGTAAAAGAATTTTGACAAATCAGTTAGTCAGTGGGGCAGTTTATACTAAGCATACAGGAAACGAAAGATAGCGGTTGATTCTACAAAAAAAATTTAGCTTTAGATTTCAGTGATTTACCTTAAAACTAAACAGGGCGATCGATGAAGATCGAGAGAGCCTAAAGGTGCCCGCCATGTCAAACGCCTTCTTGAACATCAAATATGCACTTTCTGTAGGAGGGGTGGGTGGGAGAGGTTTTACTCATGGGAAATACCTAGATATTCTTCTACTCTCATCTGACTTATTGCTTGTCAATGATTGAAAAATACCCATACTAGCTTTTCATTCTATCAACTTCCATAGCATGAAAATGTTGCGCCTGAATAAGGATGTTAGTTTCGTAAAATTGAAATTGAACAAGTTGTTTATGCCCACCTCTCCCCTTGGGATTAGACATTTGCCTGTAAAGCCATCATATTAGGTAGTAACAATTGTAAGGATCGCAATAAAATATTACAATATTCTAAAACGGCACTTGGAAAACAACTGCCGAAGTAAATGTGGGTAAATTTCAGCGAGCTGAAGAAGGTGTGTTCGCTAGAACTGTTGTTTATGTCAATTTCAGGGCCAGCGGTTTCAATCTCTCTCTAGCCGCAATTTTAGGAGAAGATCATGTAGGCAATTATTACATCTACTCTCTGTCTAGTTTGGTATTATAATTGTCCACAAATAGCTCCCTTCATAATTCGAAACGCTTTTCATCGCCACAAGTCAATGACGATGGGTACACGCCCAGTTTTGCGGAGTTTAATCAACGAACTTTTAGTAGTTCAGAAATATTTTTCAACATCCAGGAACTGCAAGCTTCTTATGGGCCGCTTGCATCAAAACACCAGATGTTCCGCAAGATTTTTCAGTTCATCAGCTGTGGGAAATCAGCAATCTCGTCAGGAAGAAAGCAAAGAAGAACGTTTTCATAAACAAAGGAGAAATATAGGGCTTGTCATCGGATCATCTGTCGGCCTGATTAGTTCGCTGTATTTTTTACTCAGAAGACTAAATCAAGCTCGTGCCGAAGGGAAAAATCTTCCCATTGATTCTAACCCTGAAAGAAACGTGGTTGAAAGTCAAGATAAGGGAGAGGACGAGACAGAAGGGAAACGGAAGAAGGATAGACATGGATTCAAAGAGAGGAGGGTAAAAGAAGCCCCTTTGATCGTTTGGCATCTTTCAACTTACGATAAAAGCTTATATACTGTTTTTACTGATGTTACCCTTGGTCCAAATATTATTTGCTTATGGTCATCGTCCAATTTTTTTTTTTTTTTTATGGTCATCGTATATTTGTGCCATACCTAAACACAAAGGACAAAACAATACATTTTCATGTTAAAATCGATTATTTGTACGAGCAGGCAGTGTAACTCATTTGGCCTTTTTTTTCGGTTGGAGGGGTGTAGGGAGGGCAGTTTAAAGTTTTATTGAAAACTGTGTAATAGAGAAACCATAACCGTACCAAACTCCAAACTTCAAGCTGAACTTGTCTTATTAGTATAAACATGACTGCTATGTTTTCAATTGAAGTGCAAATACTGCAGTTAGTTTACAGGAACTCCATTCAACAAAAGAACAAATAAACCAAATTATATGTAACATACTGGTAACATGGCATATGTGTAAAACCAACTGAAAGGAAGCAAACTAGTTGGTTGTTAAATCACTAATATGGTCTAAACAGAGATGGCTAGGAAAGAAGGTAACTGCATTACAAGTCATTCTGGAGAAGTGTCATTCTGCAAACCCTGCGTGAAGGAGGATGGCATGTGCTTATTAGACACACCCTGATTAACTTTGATTATTAAATGGGTGAACTTTGAATTTAAGAGTAAAAGCCTTAGAAATGTGAAGGTGTAGTCTGATCGCATTGAAAGAAACGTGAAAAGAAACGTTTCACATGTTACCCCCTGGTTCAAACCATTTACAGCCTTAGAAATCTTAAAGACAGAGAAAGGCATATGTGTCAAGTGATGAAGTCTCTTTCTTGTTTCTCAGATTATTGAGTATGAAAATCGAATCAGACAATACAGTACTCCAGACAAGGTGTTCAGATACTTTGCAACACTAAAAGTTGTGCACATTGGTGGGGACAATGAGGTGTTCATGACACCTGAGGATTTTGTGAGGTCATTGACTCCAGGAAAAATTCAACCAGCTGGTAATGAAAGATTTTATTTTCCTTGATTTGTATTGAATATAATTTGTTGGGAGGAGGTTGTGTAAAGAACCTTTGCTTACTGCTTGGACTGGTTATATAAGGGTATTAATAAAAAGCTATTTCTTACAGTACGTTTATTATGTGAAACCCGAATTAAGCTGTCAACTTTAACTTTAACTTTATTTAAAGAGGGAAGCACAATAACCTGTTACAGTTTTCTAACCTACAGCCCTCAACCCACCCATCCCACCCCAGGGGAGGACATCCATCACGCAGTAATCTCATGCATGGGAAATTAACGTCTCCTACCCCTACCTCTGCAGGAGACAGGACCTCCATTTATTCGTCCCTATCTGAGGAGGCTAGAATATCTAACCATTTCTCGATGTTATAGAAAGGTAGCACATTCTTCTCAATTATTTTAAGACCTTGAGTGTTGGTCTGGCGGGGCTTGAACCCTTGACCTTCTGCACAACATTCCAGCACTCTGTCCATTGAGCTAACTGGGAGGCGGTCGATCCACCTACCAACCTGTATGAAGAGCCATTCCCGTGGCTGACAGCATTAATACAGGTTTTACTGCATTGTATTATTTAGCTAGCTGTCCTAATTTTCCTTTATTAAGTAGCTTTTCCTTTGCTTAAAGTTATTCTCTGCTTATTTAGTTGTTTTTTGATTCCTTTATCTCTTTATGTATCAAATATTTTATTTATTTATCTATTTATTCATTTACTCATACTTTGTGTTCCAGGATTGGGACTTGACGAACATGAAAGATTTAATCCAGAGGTAATTGCTGTAGACAAGTCATAGCTGAGTGCATCGCTGTATACATCAGTTTAACAATGTTTGTTCTGTAGTTTTCTAGAATATTGAGCAAAATTTTGACTTTTCCAGTACTATTTATCTTCCAGTCTATCTACCAGTCTGCGTGACTATTTATTTGTTTGTCTTAAAAACTGTCTGTCTGCCTGTCTGTCTACTTACCCGCCTGTCTCTCTGTCTGTCTGTCTGTCTGGTTGGGTGTCTGTCTGTCTTTCTGGCTGGGTGTCTGTCTTTCTGGCTGGGTGTCTGTCTGTCTGGCTGGGTGTCTTCCTGTCTGTCTGTCTGTCAGTCTACCTGACTATTTATTTGTCTGTCTAAGAAACTGTCTCTCTGTTTTTCTGTCTGTCTATCCTCCAGTATGTCTACCAGCCTATCTGACTATTTATCTGTATATCTAAAAAGCTGTCCCTCTGCTTGTCTGTCTACTTTGGGCCCAGATGCACCAGGCAAATGTTTGTGTATTATGTGAAAAAAAAAAAAAAAAAACTGTCGTCAGTTCAGTGAGACAAGTAACTGCTTAATAAAGGCTGATAGTTTCGAAAGAAACTGTTTGGGGCTGCGTCGGTAGGAGTAACGAAATAATTTGGATATATCAACAAAGTTGAAATGGTAAATTGNTGGAAATGAGATAAAACCGCGTTTATGACATCGGTCTAAAAAATTTTGTACAACCGTAAGATCGGACTCAGATGCCCCATAGACTGAAAGTGCATAGCTAAAATTAGCCAAAACAATGGATATAAAAAGATGATCAATCTCTGCCTGAGAGTAATGTTCCTTTCTCAATGTTCGTAGGACGTGTAAACACTTGTTTGTTTTGACAAGCTTAGTTCTTACATGCTCATCAAATTTTCCGTCACTCTGTAAAGTTACTCCTAGTAAAACGAAGCTATTACATTGGGGAATATTATTAATCGGAGAGTAGAGTACATTATGATTTTTCTTTCTAACAACCAGCTCTTTACATTTGCAAGGTTTGCAGACCATTCTATTGTCTTTACACCATGTTAAGAACTGTCCTACTAAGTCGGCAGACGGGTCACTATCCAGCAAAAACCTACGATATTCGATGGAAATAAACAACTGAAGGCCAAACTTCTGTGATTGAAGGAAGACTTCGTGACGCAGACAAATTATCACAACTTTGACCTTTCAGTCGATCTCACCTCCGGCAGATCAGCGAAGCGTAAAAAATATTTAATTTTATGCCGACGAACTATAATATATGATCTTCAACTATTAAAGAAAATAAAACAATTGTGATATGGGTAAAATGTTGTCATTACAAAAGCTGACGTTTCGAGCGTTAGCCCTTCATCGGAGCGAAGGGCTAACACTCGAAAGATCAGCTTTTGTAATGATCGTTACGGTGGCCAATTTACCATTTCAACTTTGTTGATATATCCAAATTATTTGACTGCTTAATAATTTTTTATTCCGCCAAATTTTGTCAAACCTTACCAATCTTCAAAGGTGCTCTTGTCCAGCCTCCGAGCAGGAAAAATTTTTGTCAGGCATGAGTGTCACTCCCAACTCCCTTGGGAGATTCCGTTAGTCATTTGACACCTTTAAGCTGGGATAGCCATGTGCTCAGGTGAGCAAGTGTGCCTTTCTTTGGCTAAAAGCGAACGGTTCGGTGAGTCGATATTTGGTTTTAATTTGTTGTTTGGGGAGGTATTCGGAGCTTAATACCTTCTTTTGTTTGTAATTTCCAGAAAACCTCTCACTTAATACTTTCACTGACTGAGGCCATGCGGCCAATGTACGAGTTTTCAACTTTCATTTACATTTGCGAATAAGCATAAGTACTACAGTACTGACAATGAGAGCTGATAGATTTTTCAGTTTGCAAGCCACAGATTGAAGGAATATGTCAACCCAGATAATTTGATCTTGCTTTTTGATTGTGAGTCTTTCAAGCAGAAGGTGGCCAAAATATTTATCTTTTTTACAACCAAATGGTGAAGATGAAATAATCAGAGTCAAAATTAGTTGACACATCATGTTAGAAGAGGTCTATTTAAGTGAAGAACAACATTCTTGTTTCTACCTCCCTATAAATCATTAACAGCCCCCTCTGCTATTCAGTATTGGCTAAAATTAATGGAATCATGATACAACATTGTTTAGGGGGGAAGGGGTTGAATAGGTTAACTTAATGAAAGCAAAAGAGATAGAGTTGAGGTAACAATTGGGGTTGAAAAGGGCCACGTGTGAACAATTTTGTCATAACATAACATAACATCATTCAAACTCATATATAACTACATAAATTTGAAAGGGAGAGTCAAGAGGTTAACCCTATAAATAAAACTCTCCTAAAAACTACAACAAACAAAAAAAAAACCCATAAATTTATAGCTTTAATAAGGATTTAAGTTTACATTTAAAAAAGTTATAGGCTACCGGCTTCAACAACATTACTAGGTGAATTATTCCAATGACTAATTACATTGTTGAAAAAGAATATTTGAAACAGTTAATTCTAGATAATTTACAATAAAGCTTATACAAGTGATTCACCCTAGTGGATTTGACTTTTGCGAATTCAAAGAATTCCTCAAAATCCAAGTGTGATAAGCCAAACACAATCTTATAACATTCAACAAGAGAGGAATATGTCCTACCACTGGACAAAGATGGCCAATGTAACGTGTCGCAACGCTCTTCATATGACATATCACCCCTTTTTTTCCTAAGAGGTAACCTTGCCGTGCGTCTTTGCACGCTCTCTATTGCATAAATATCTTTCAYGAGATATGGGTTCCAGACTGGAGCAGCATACCCTAGAAGTGGTCTGACCAATGTTTTGTAAAGCAATGAAAAAGTTATAGTATTAGCTGTTCCAACAATCCGTTTTATTAGCAGTTGGACTTGGTTGGCCTTATTCACGATTTTCATAGTACTAATATGTTCACTCCAAGTAAGATCTTTTGATATAATAATTCCAAGATCTTTAAAGCTCTTGACATCTTTTAAGGCCATACCTAGTTTATAATTCGTAATTGATTTGTCACGAGAATGCATTATTCGCATTGCTTCAAACTTGTCCTCATTGAAGCAAAGTTGCCATTTTTTCACCCAATTACCAAGATCATTCAAATCAGTTTGGAGGTATTGTTCATCTAGACTAGGGTTGCAAAGCTCTCTGTAAATCTTTGTGTCATCTGCAAATAATTTAATTTTAGAAGAGACACAGTCAACGATATCATTTATATTTGATAAAAATAGAATTGGACCAAGAATAGTTCCTTGTGGGGTACCAGATATCACAGGGTGCCCAATCAGAAAAAGTTCCTCTTACAACAACTCGTTGGCTTCTACACGTGAGGAAATGCCTCAACCGATTTAAAAGTTTTCCCTCCATACGGAGACTATATAACTTTATGAGTAGGCGTTCATGTGGAACACTATCAAAAGCCTTTGCGAGATTAAGAAATACAACATCTATTGCTACAGATGAATTCCTAGATCCGGCGAAGTCATGAAAAGTCGAGAGTAATTGGATCACAGTTGACCTACCCTGCAGAAAACCAAATTGGTTTTTGTTTATCACGTTTTGGTCTTGCCAAAATGACATTAACCTATCGCGTACAATTTTTTTGCTGATTGAAGATTTGTACCATGGGATGGTGTATGACAATCCATACTCAGGATACTAAGAATACAACTGTTGTTCCCAAGTTTTAAGTTTTTTAAGTTTAAGCTGAATCCCCAGGTCCAAGTGCTGCTCAATTTGTACGTCAATCTAATTGACATTTGGTCGTTAACAAATATTTTGTGTTTTTTTTCCCCCAGGATTAACTAATTAAAATTTGGCATAGACAAATTTTATTGAGATTTTTAGTGGAGCACAACAAATTTTGTCAGCCAAGTGCACCCAGGCCCTTTCCTACTTGCCTGTTTGGCTATTTGTTTATCTTCCTGTCCATCTGCCAGACTATCTGACCATTTATTTGTCCGTCTAACAAACTGTCTATCTGCCTGTCTTGTCTGCTCGCCACTTGTCTGTTTGGTTTTCTCGTAACATCGTTGCATTGATGGTTCATCATGTTAAGTCACTGAGTCATGTCTCACATTATTATCTCAACAGCTTTTTAGTGAATACCATATCTCCTCGGTTAAACATCCATGCTTTAGTAAGCCCCCTCCCAGGAATAAGCACCCAATGTCCAGACCACGTCTCTAACAAGCTCTCCCCCCCTTGAAAAACTCCCCCCTTACCTCTTTCACTTTCTTGAATAGTAGGAATAACAGGAAAACCTGTTTCTATTGCACTTTATTTAAACATCAACTACAGCAGAATGGGTAGAGGAGAAGAGTTTCTTTTCCATTCAAGTTATTTTTATCATTCTCCATTTGCATGCAGGGTCTTCCTTTACGTGTGTTATCTGTTTCTTTTTTTTTTTATTTTTGTGTAATATTAATGTGCTAACTTAATAAGTTCCCCTCTTGATTAAGTGCCCTCCTTCCTATAAACACCCATAAAACTTTAAATAAGTACTGGGTGCTTATTAAGAAAATCAAGTATTTGATATACATTTTATTATGATAGAACTAAATAATTATTAATAAAATAACCACACTTTTGAGTTTCAACCCTCAACTTCCTGCAATATTACTAATGCCGTGAAGAGGTAGTAGATAATTAACATGTAATATGTAATAAACATGTTTTGTCAAAGCTACTTTAACTTACATATTTTATGACTGAAGAGGCAGGAGTCACACTCATATAGTGACACGAGTACTAATAGCTCTTCATCCTTCTCTCCCCTTCCCACTTTTTTTTTTATTGCCTCCCTTTTTTCCATCCCACAGTCACTAAGATATGATTCTTTTGACTTTGAATTTTCAGAAACACTAGTATAAAGGAGAGCTTTCTGAACGCTTGGGCCAGGAGAGTGTTTTTTTGAGAATGGGAGAATATGGCCTAATTTCCTTCTCAGACTACATCTTTCTTCTAACAGTTTTATCCTGTATGTTTTCTTGAAATCATCAGTCATTTTTCTTTAACAGTGTGTAACAGTACACCCTTTCACTTTGAAGATATCATTGAACCCTAGCCCTAAGTAACTCTCCTTACTCTGTGCCATACAGTTTTTATAATGTTAGTTTGGAGAATTTGGTATTGGATCATACGACAATCCTACAATTTATAGTTTTCTTACCCTCATCACTTGTCTGCTTCTAATTGTATTCATTTCATATTGAGGAGAAATTCTTTCTTGTTATTGAAAGGGTTTAGGTGTCACTTCTAGAATAGTTCTTGTTCACCTGTATTATCCAGACAAAGAGTAGTTCCTCCTTGTTGGCTAAGTCTGTTGTGAGAGTCAAAGGAAAGTCAGTGAAAAAAAATGGATCATAGCATGCTGCAGGAAACTCTTGGAGTGAGTTCCATGAGTGAGGTGCTCCAAAAGCAGAGACTGCTTGTAGTCTAAGTTGTACACCTTTTTTACTGTTTCTTCAATCAGTTCCTCCTGTATGTTCCCTGGAAATCTATTTGGGTTTGTTTGAATTGAAATTTTTGTTAGTTATGCACTAGTTTGATTTTAAGGCTGGTGCCATTTTTGAATAGGAGGTCTTATTCTGAGTATGTTGTTTAATTTAGTGCCACCCAGAATGTTTGAAATTGCATTCCAAATGTTTGATTTGAATGGAGATGGAGAAGTTTCACCTGAGGAATTTGAAAAGGTAGGACAATTGTGATGGTGCGCATTTTTTAGTGTATTGGATGTTTCCTTCATTGTCATAATCATCGTCATCTCAGTCATTAGAGAGGTTAAGCTTGATACTTAAATGAGACATTGATTAAAAAACGGAAAGATTGAACTTCTTGCTGTCTTTTTCAGGCACTTGTACTTTTCTTTATACATTCTTATTAATTTTGTGATTTTAGATTTTATGACATTAATCTAATGAAAATATTCAGTAAGGCAGAATTTTCAATCATTATATGTGAACTGTACTTCTTTTAGTTATGTTTTTGCAAGGCTGTTTTAGAGATTAATCTGCTTCATACATTTCATTCTGCCTCATCTGTTCTGTATTGTTGCATGTGAAAAAGAGATGTGCAGTTGTAATGAGTCTAATAAGTAAAGAGTGCACACCTTATATTCTGCCCAATGTCCAGTCCATTAACGTTGAGTAATCCAGTTTTCAGTGCCTTGTCTGGCACTGAAATCCTCTCTAGAACCTCTTAGCATACTATGCATTTATTCTGTTTTGAGTTACTAGGTTTTTAAATTGTTGATTTTCAGGTTCAGAATATCCTTTTTAGCATGACTCAAACTGGGATGCGGCATCGTGATCATGCAGTGACAGGTAGTGTCCTATCTGCACATGTGAACAGTGGTATCAAAGAGTACTTTTTTGGAAAAGATTTGAAGAAGAGGCTGACTGTGCAAAGATTCATAGAGTTTCAAAGAAATTTACAACAAGAAGTCATGTATCTGGAGGTAAACACTCTTTGCTAAGTAGAGTTATGCTTGAGTATTGTTTTTGTATTTAATTTCTTGCTTAAGCATGGCAGGTACAGGAAATGATACAAATTGGTCTTTTTGTCATCTGCTCTTATGTGCTGTTCATGCATTTTCATTTGTGAAAATATTTCTGTTTTACTGTGAATAAGTTTTTCGTACCCATATACTGGTTAGAATTAATTTGATAAAATAATGTAGACGAGATTGGCAAAACCACAGTTAATTGTGGTGTAAACTTCAGTCCTAACCTCATTTACTTCTTTGAAAACTTGGCGCTGCAAGATGCTACTTACTAAAAGTGTTATTTCCCATTGGATGAATGATGCACCTGTTCAAAGTAAGAAATGTGTTTCCTACATATTGCAGGGACCTGGGAACAGGTCATGTGATGTATGGTGGGCAGTTTTCTATGATGAAGACAAGTGATCAGCCTTTCAAAGCTGCCAGTTTTAAAAAAGAAATTTTTTAAACTTTTCTCGTTATTGAAAACATTCTTGATTGTACCTGTGTACATTTGATTTTTACTTTTCAGTTCAATTCCTATGACCCTGAGGATGGCCGTATTAAAGAATGGGAGTTTGCAGACATGCTTCTTACTTACTCTAGTTTCCATGAAAAGAAGAAAGTGAAAATTTTGAGAAAAGTAAAGAAAATTTTTAAAGAAAATCCTCAGGTAAGGTCTGGAAAGGAAAACATTAATATTAAGCTTAACTTGTCTCAGATAATTGTTTTTTCTCTAATTTATTTTTTGCCATCAGGGAATAACATTCAAAGATTACTTGGCATTCTTCAGCTTCATGAGAAACATTTCTGAAGCAGATATGGCTTTGAGTTTTCACAATGCAGCAGGCAAAGCGATTGACCCAGGTAGGTTTAAGGCTAATTACTAAATGTTGAGATTGATATGTATTGAAAGAGATAAAGCTGTCAGATACTTGAATGGAAAGATCACTGGTTTGAATCTTCATAGGTACCCTAACTGTATCTTCCTTCCAACACTTGATGCAACAATGAATATGATATATTTAAACATAGTGTAGCTAATCAGGCATTTCAAAGTACAAACTTGTCAACTGTACAGTTCATGAGAACTATATAAGTCTCTCACACTTGCTCTCAGTTGAATAAAGGGACAGATACACAGGGCAGTCAATAATATTTTTCTCTTTTTCCAGAAACATTCAAGCAGGTTGCAAAGACAGTGACAGATGTTAACTTGAGTGATAATGTGGTTGACGTTGTATACAAGATGTTTGATGAAAATGGTAAATACCATAATGATTACAACTTACAGTACTTCTCATCTCTATGTTCATTTAATTACTAATGGTATTAATTTAAAAAATAAAAGGAAAAAACAAAAAAACTAAAAGCACATCTTGGTAGCATCTATTTTGGGTACCATGGATCCTCTCTTGCTTTTGGTTGCCACACCTTTCTTTGACTGAACCTCTTTATTTAGGACATTTTCTACCCAAGGGCTAAGATTGCCCCTTGTATGCATGCCCCATTGTATTCAATATTATATGCATTTTGATGCCAAAAACCAAACATTACTCCATTTGACAGAGAGTTACTAAAAAGATTTGCCCTATATCTGAGTATTCAGACACAGACAATTTTTTTTGTGTGCAATTTCAGATGATGGTGTTCTTAGTCACAGAGAATTTATTGTTGTGATGAAGAATCAACTTGTCAGAGGATTAGAAAATGTGAGAAAGATGGAACATAACTACTAGTAATTACAATTATATTGTTATCATTATTGTTATTCTAATCATTTAGTATTATCATTAATAAGTTAAGAGTTCAAAAAAATATTACTTTTTTTATCGAAAGAATTCTTATCCTGAATATAAGTTTGTTTGGGTTTGGTTTGGTCCCATTCCAATGATGTTTTTCGATAAAGAACTGTTGGAACTTTTTTGGTGGTGGAGCTGAATCTTCTTATCTTCTCATTTGATATAATTACTAACATGCTATAAGTAATTATATCAAACAAGAAGATAAGAAGATTCAGCTCCACCACCAGAAAAAGTTCCAACAGCTCCTTATCGAATTTTTATCGTCTTAGCCATAATTATTATTCAGGTTTGTCCATAAAATTTTCCTTACAAAGACACAATTGTACATTTATTGAACTTTTGAATTTACTAATTCTGACTACTCAGTACTGTGTCAGTTGGTACCCCTTCTTTCATTGTTTTTGCTTAGGCAATAAATGTGCCTATGGCCTATATATAGTTTCAGAAAATAAGGAAATAAAAAAAACTTCTGTGAGTTTCAGAAAATCGTGAAGACTTTGGCTTGATTATGACTAGCCAGTGAGCAGGCCCTCATTGTAAGTGCTGCAGAATGAACATTTCAGGGAACGGGGAGTGCAAGGGGTCCTGCATGCAAAGAAAATCTCATGCTGAAGCACTATTCATGAGGGCTTGCTTGCAAGCTCAGGCTAGATTCTTAACAGGTCAGCTGTGTACCAATTAATAACAATTAAGTTTAAGGCATACAAGTGGACACCATGTCCACAAAGTAATTATTGTTATCTCTAACCTGATTGGCTCTGTCCTTGCAGTCCAACAACATTCTAGAAATATTTTGTGGTGTTAACACTTTTTTTTTTTAGTTTCAAATTATACTAGAGTGAACTTGCTCAAAGTTTCATAAAAAATTTGAAAAAGCAAAAAAAAAAAACAAGTGGATGAGGCATGTACATAAATTATAGTCTTCTCTCATAAATGCTTGGCCAAATTGGTATAATTTTTTAATCTTGTAAATTAGCTTTTCTGGCCTCTACAACTGTATAAAAAAAAAATTGTGAATAAAGAATGAGGCCAATCATGCTCACCATTATGAACGAGTTCTAAAGGTTACGTAAAAGTTTGGAACTTCTAGTTTAGGTTAATGCCATCTCTTTGCTTTTGATTTTCAGCCTAAGGATACAGGTTTTAGTAGACTGATGCAGGCCATTTGGCACTGTGGAAAACACATGACATATACCACACTGCATCCAAAGAAACAATCTACTGAGGACTAAGAAATTATCTTGTTGGACACAAAGATCAGAATGCTGCCATGAAAATTGATTTGCTGCTTGTCTCAGTATTGAGTAAATTACAAATAAAAGGATTTAATTGAAGGAGTGAGGTTCATGCACTAGCCTGCAATAATGGTGTACATTAACAGTCATCTTTTAATAACGTTCATAAGGAGCTGACAAATTGTGGCTTGTATGAATAATGTAAAGATTTTGAATTCCAAGCATTAACCGTTATGGCCAGTAATTTTTAGCTGGCATGGGAGTTTGCCCATTTGTTGCATGAAATAATGTAACACCTTGAAACTGTTTGCAAGTCATAGAAAGAAGTGAATTTGAATAATCTTTACAAAGAAGTACAACTCTTCTATTTAGTGTATTCATTTGATTGTAAGGTGACTTGAATTAATTTCAAATAGCTTCTAGGTACCTGGAAGAAATCCCTCCTAAAATATGGATGTTTTTCTTAAAGATATGAGAAGTTAAAATAATGGCATTATTAATAAGATTACATGCTTTGACAGCTAGTATGAAGCACATTTTGATATTAATAACCTTGAAGACACATATTAAGAATGGTAACATAACGGATTGGAGTACAGTGTGGTTTTTTAACAATATAACTTGGAGTTTGGTTTCAAGTGGGAATGATACAAAGTTTATTATAAAGCCAACCATATTGGAAAATTCTTCACAAGGGAATGGTACCTGACTAATGAATGAATGAATCTACCTGACTAAGTTTTTGAAAAAATATTTTTTAATGAAAATGTTGAACAAAGAGCTGATTAGTAAATCTTAACATCTCACCTAGCTAACTCAAAAACCTTCGCAAGGGATGCATAGAGTGGAAAGTTGGAAGTAAGGAGTAAAATAAATCCCATTGAAAGAATTGTACATGTAAACTACTTCTTGCCAATTAAGACAGCTACAGAGTTACCCTTGATTGCCCTCTAATTTTCACATCATAGTAGCCTAAGAAAGCAAAACAGCTGCAGATAGAAATTAACTACACCTTCACTCTTGCTGCTTTAATTTACAGTACTGTGTATTCTTTAATTCAGTTTAAGAGAAAAAGTGAGGAAACACCACTGTTTAAATGCTTACTTTAAAGATAAGAATGGGAATACACTATATCCAGAACTCAAAGACCTCTTCCTGTACTATCACATGCTTCAACACAGTTCCAGTGTCCCCAGTGTACTGATATATGTACACCTTTAGAGCATGTTTATTGTGGTCTGTTCCAAACACTGGTACAGTATTCTGTGTAAATTAAGTTGTAGTTCCACTCCACTAATAAGCAGTCTAAGAGCTTGCAGCTGCAGGGGCTGGTGGACGAGTACCTCCTTCCCCACTCTTCCCTGCACCCAGACGATGAGGATCCTGAGATGGATAGTGTATTGGAGGAGGACCAGGTGGAGGGCGTGGCATTCCATGTCTAGGAGGCAGAGGCATGTGAGGTGGGTGTGGTGCCCCATAAAAAGGCATGGGGGGTGGTCTGAATGGTGGATGACCAAATGGAGGAGGAGGAGGTGGGTAGCCACCTGGTGGTGGAGGTAAAGAATGCCCCATTGGAGGAAGAGCGATGCCTGGTAGCCCCCCAGGAGGAGGAGGTAAGGGGGGCGGTATAGAGGGGAGAGCAGCTGGTGGTGCTGAGGATGGAGGAAGGTTGAAAAAGTTTGCTTGGCTTTTCTCATCTGTAGGAGGTGGTGGAAGAGCTTAAAAAGAACATTGAGAAAGCAGATCAAAAGATATATCTAACCCTTACACCCCAAGGAGTGACCAAAGAGGAATTTCTCCTTACCATGTCTACACACTTTTGTACGTTAAAAATGGATGGAAAGAAAGATTTATATCATCAACGAGGTATTGTGTTATTCCATAGAAAATTCTTCAAGCTAAAATTGCAAGAAAAGTAAGGTGCTGTGAGAGTTAATTTTTAGATCTTGAGGGTCAAAAGGCTTAAAGTTGAATAGAAGCAGTTGCATTACTATTCAAGGAGTTTAAAGTTAAAGAGGAGGCTACTAGAGAACTTGACAAACAGAAAAAGAGGATAACACAAAACCAACCTCCGGGCAGTCCCGGCACTGGGGCTAGAGAAGTGCCTCCTTGCTTTCCAGGGGCAGGTTGCTGTCCTTGTGACTTTCCCCACATGATTTTCAGTCGCCGCCCTTTAAGGATGAGTTTGTTAAAAGAGCGCTCTGCTGCTGTTTCTGCTGATGCTCGTGCAGTGAAACAGACAAATGCACAATTTTGTCTCGGAACCATAGTTATGGATCGAAGCTCACCAAACTGGTAAAAGTAGTCCCTGAAAAAAAAGGAAAAAGATTACTAAATATTGATATTCTACATGTGGATAATCTGGAGAACTCACTGGCTATGTTAAGCACCTATAACTCTGATGTAAAGAAGGTTGTCCTGGTTTCCAAAGCATTGAGCAACTAAATCTGTGTGGTGAGCCATGATCCTATGCTAGTCAGCCAAACATTTTTCCTAGTGTAACAGGCACACCTATTGTATTATGTGGTCATTCTTCATTTTAACTCTCACACCCTCAAACAGGTGAGAACTGAACCAACTTGCTCACCTCAAATCACTTTCTTCCACCTTTCCCTCTAATCCTCCAACGTATAAAGTAGTGATGGACTTGTCAGAAGGAGGCTCAAGGGACGGCATTGAGGATGCCTGTTTTAGTAAGCGAGTTGCTACAGGATCACTCATTCCATAGTATCTATCCTTTATATTTTGATCAGCTAGAGGGTCATTAGGGTCTGTCGGCATGTCATGTCTGAAAATAATATATACTGTATTTATATACACCCACTTTCAAAAAACATTGCAATTTTAAAATATTTATGCATAGTGTGTTTATTTATAAACACACACTTAAAAAAAAAAATCTAACATGCAGCTTACAAAGGTTTCCTTTTGAGGATTGGTCAGTCTGACCAAAATACATTTTTCTCCTATTAATCCTTTAGCATTGAGTGGGAATATTATAATGTGGTTGGGTGGTCTGTATGTCTTGGAGACCTTGACAGTAATAAAGTGGAACACTTTGATGTGGTTGTGTGGTCTGTCTCACAGACACTGACAGTTACAACAATGATGTGGTTGGGTGGTCTGCATGTCTTAGAGATGCTAACAGTCATGAAGTGGGAGCACTATGATGTGGTTGGGTGGTATGCAGTCTCAGAGACTGTGACTGTCTTAAAAGTGGGAACACTATGATGGGGTTGGCTGGTCTGCAGTCTCACACACCGTGACTGTTTTAAAAGTGGGAGCACTATCATGTGGTTGAGTGGTCTGCAGTCTCAAGGGACACTGACAGTTTTAAAGTTGGAGCACTATGATGTGTTTGGGTGGTCTGCAGTCTCAAAAGACACTGACAGTTTTAAACATTGGAGGACTATGATGTGGTTGGGTGGTCTGCAGTCTCAGAGACCCTGACAGTTTTAAAAGTGGGAGCACTATGATGACACTGGTTGAGCGGTCTGCAGTCTCAGAGACCCTGACAACCCTCACAGTTATACCAGCTGAAGTCTTATCATTCTCACTGGGTTAACCATGCCAAACAGGTCAATACATAGGGGACAAATGAAAACTTCTCCCCACCCTCTCCAGGTCTCAGGTGGGCACAGGGCTACCAATCCTGTTTTGTGGAATGATATTATTCAAGAAACAGCAACAGAAAAATCAACTGCAATGTGTCATGGCCTTTCAGAGTCACTGCAAGCAACATGGATAGTGCCAGTGCCATGGTAACCACTGATGGGAAGTAAGAAATGAATGTAACATCATAACTTTATTGAGATCTCAATAGTGTCACTCAGTACCTATATGGGCATTCATCTCCACGCTTACACTCTCCCTTTACCCAGAATGAACAGATGTGGGGTCTGTTCCTTTTGTAATAAGGTGTGGTCCTAGCCAGTTTCAGTAGCAAGTCACTGGGTGCATTGGCTTTACCCAGAGTTCCACCAGGTGTGGTACCATCTGAATTTGCCAACTACAGATGAATCAACATTACTTTACATTAGAACAGGGTGGAATTCCATGTGGGAGACTCAAATTTTATCTTTTTTCACTGTTTGTGACAAGAAGAATCACATCATTCTTATCAGATTCTTTATTACAATCCAACAAGGTCAGGTTTTCCATACAAGTATATTTAATTTTGTTTTGTTGATAATATTACTTCAAAATGAATCTGGTTTACACAAGGAGAACTTAACATTCTTGGGCCAAAATTACCAGCATAAACCCAGTTTGTTATCTTGACTTGAAAACAATGTTTGTTGTAAAATAATAATAAATAAAAATAAATAATTTAGCTATGGACATTCCACTGAGTGGCTCTTCTTGTCCACTGTTTCCAGATTGAATTGGAATTTGGAATGTTGGTTTTTGCAGAGGGAGGAAAACCGGAGGACCCGGAGAAAAACCTTTGGAGCAAGGACGAGAACCAACAACAAACTCAACCCACATGAGATGCCAGGTCCCGGAATTGAACCCAGGTCACACTAGTGGGAGGCGAGTGCTCTCACCACTGCACCATCCCTGCTCCCCTAAGTTGTGCATTTCTTTATTGATAAACCCAGTGTATGAAATCTTGACAGGTTTCCACTGCTAACATTCACAGGATGACCATAGCCCAAGCAAACAAAATTTAGCAAGTAAATAACAAATATCCATAATTATAACCACATACCTCTTTCTCTACATTCTGAGTGTAATACTCTTTATTAACATCAGATTTAGGAACATCGTCTTTCATACCAAGGGCATGGTCCCTGACTTGTACTGGTAAACCTGGCGTGACATGGATTAGGAGAAAAAAAAAACTGTTTATAGAAATTGATCCCTCAATCAAATTACATTTCGGTCCTCTTTCTGGTTGAAGTCTAAATAAGATGAAACACTGAATCAGCATACCGAGTAAATGAACAAAAGATTACTTGCAAGTCAAACTCTATGGTTCAACTACTGGCTATCTCACATTGGTGATACACTTGAACTCTTTCTTTGTGACCAAAAAAACATGTACAATGTATTTTACTTGGGATTTTATGATCAAATAAACATATACAATGTATTTTACCTGGGATTTTATGATCAAATAAACATGTGCAGTGTATTTTACCAGGAATTTTATCTCAAGACATTACAGAACTGTAGATTTTGTTTTCCCTCATGGTCATCTGTTTTTAGAGCACAAGAGCTGGAGTAAATTGGTGAAGCACTACTCCCTACATACAGTTGTAATAAACAATTTTCTTACTAACAAAACTCACCATATTCAAGATCAAGTAAACAAGTTTGGCAAACATTCTTTAGCTTTGAACATGTCTGACAGACTTCTGTCTTCTTAAATCTCATTCGTGCTCCTGGACACCAACGAAAAACTGTGAATGGTCGGGCACAAATCTAAACAAACAATATAGAAGTACTATGGAGTAAAAACCACTACAATCATTAAGCTCATACACTGTTTAAAATGGCAAAAATACATTGTTACCCTTTTTTAACAAATTTGGTTGAGAAAAATCCACTCTGACTACAGAATTAAAGTTCCATAAAGACTGCTGAAGTCAATTCAACTCACCTTACATTCTCTGCCATATGTTTCCCTTGTCTACACATAATAACAAGAAGATAGTGAACTTAAATGAATTATCATTCACTGTCTAGGTAATGAAGTTCTGAGCAAGTTGATGATGCAAAAAAATATGTTAAAAGTAGAGTAAAGCAATCAAAATATCTGTTGTTAGAAAATCAGGATGTCTCTATTTCCCACTGACTCAGCTCTAGCACTTTTGATCCAGTGGAAACTATACTGTTGAAGCCAAAGCAGAAGTGGAAGAACCAGCATTACTAATGCCAGTTCTCAAACATTGTGGGTGATAACCACTCAAACAACCTAAATCTGGTTTTCACAAGATCACAAGATCACGAGCCATGATCATATGCCCCATCAGCATACATTTGGGTCCTACCGTATTTATTTGTCTATAAGCCAAACTCGGCTATAAGCCAAATTCGGCTATGAGCCAAGACCCTAAAGTTTAGTCTGTTTTAATAGGGAAGGTTCTTAAAACAAAAGCCAAAAGCCAAGACCATATTCAGAGAATTCCATTCTCAAACAAACTGAAATGAATGCAAAAGTTTCAAAACAGAATAGTGTTTCAATGCAGGATTGCTGTCGAAAACAATTCCGAGATAGCTAGAGAGTACAGCATCAGTGAGTCTCTGGTCTGCTGCCAGAGGAAAGATCAAGAGAGCCTCTTTAATAAAGAGCTCAAGATGTCAGCAAAATGCACAACAATGGGCTATCACACTATGAAATATCTGCAGCTGGATGAGAGACTACTTGACTGCAGGTTTACAGAGCAGAGAAGACAACCTCAGTTTTCTTTTTATGTTATCGTAAATTTCAAAACCGTATCATGTGATGAGTTTGTTTATCAATCATGGAAATGGGCAATTCTGATTGGTCAGTTTCGAAATCATCAAAACACTTGGCAGGATCCATACACATGTTCAAAACTAGCAGAATCAAAAACGCTCTGGACGGCATGGAAGATGAAGCAATCACCTTGGAAGAAACAGCAGAACTAGCAGATGAGAAGGAGATGGAGGATGAATTCCAAACAGACACTGAGGACAAACAGTAATCCGTATGTACTATCCGCCAGAAACAACAAACAGCTCCTTTAGGAGCTACCACATGAATAAAAGTCAATGACCAACTTCAACTTGTTTTGTTATCTATTTCTACATGAAGTAACTCAGCTTACATGTTTCCTATGTTTCCTTCGAATTTGAAATTTTGTTAGGAAAAACACTCAGCTATCAGCCGAGGAACATTCTCTAGCTCAAATTTTCGAGATTTGGTAACGTTTTGTGAAAAAATTGCTCAGCTTATAGAAGAACAAATACGGTAGTTCTGTCCCTTTCCCCAAATCATAACACTACTGCTTTGATTACGAATCGAACTCTACTACGGTCTTAATTAATTAGTGAAAACCACTCTCAACTAATAATTACATGAAATCCTCTTTCCCAAAAACATGATAATGATACTTTACCATTCGCACATAAGGATTATCGCCAAGGCATGTTTGACAAAGAATGGGAAACTCCTGAAATGGCATAGCATTTAAGATAAGGTAGTAAAGATGTTACTCGAGCAATTGTTCAAGATAACATTAACATGATCTAGAGAAGAAACTTTCGAAGATACTGTTTGTGACTGATAAGTACGAAGTGATAAAACGACGAATGTAAGATACATAGACAAAAACGTAGAGCTGATCTAGTGGAGAGACTACCATAAGGATCAAGAAATAGGTTCACGTATAATGTATAAACCTGCCGCATCGTGACAGCACGTGAATTACTGATCAGCAAACTTGGACCCACAGAAGCCATAAAACAACATCCGGCAGATATCAAAGTCTGTAAAACTTTTATCTAGATACTTTTGAACTAGTTACAAGAGAGCAACAACAAAGGCACTCACCGCGTTTTCCCAATTTTGACGATTGTATGTATTCGCACTCTTTGAGGTCGCCATGTTGAAATATCTAGCCTCGCTTGGAAACTACAGTCAAACCTGTATTTGGGGAATGGGTAAGACCAATGAATCCAGAGAAAAGGGGACAATAGTGGTGTACCACAGAGAAACGATAAAACTTCATTTTATGCCATAAATGACCACTTAATGCGCAAAAAATCGTCCAATAATATTAACTACGTTGATTTCGGGTAATAAATATGGATTAAATTCTATTTGAAAGATTATTCTTGATTTTATGTAAGTGGTCCCGCTATTAAGTGAGCGTGCCATACAGTTGGAGGACAAAAATATTTCTTGATATTTTCATATAAACGTAGAATAAAAGTTATGTTTTTTGTTCTTCACAATGATTGCTAACATTAGGCAAGAAAAAGTTAGGGTTTGCATGGATCCGAATGTATTCTGGAATATCGCGGGCTAAAACATAAAGTAGCGCTCGTTGTCGCTTGTCGTATACATATTCAAAGTATACATTATTTTCGGGGTGCTGGCATGCTGCGTTCGTCTTCTTTATTCAGAGTACTTTTACGATTGACCTTGGATAATAATTTACTGAGTAGGGATGTCAGAAAAGACATCATTTTGGTATGTCACGCAACACTCTGTGACTGCTTGTGTTGCGCTACAAAACATAAACAAGTTGAAGTTATTGAAGTTCATTTATTTGTTTAAGCAGGTTGATTAATTGGCAGCTGTAATAGCTGATGTGGACCTGCTGTCCTAACCCACCCATCCCACCCCAGGGGAGGACATCCATCACACAGTAAATCTCGTGTGTGGGAAATTAACGTCTCCTACCCCAACCCTGCAGGAGACGGGACCTCCATTTATTCGTCCCTATCCGAGAAGACTAGAATATCTAACCATTTCTTGATGTTATAGAAAGGTAGCAAATTCTTCTCAATTATTTTAAGACCTTGAGTGTTGGTCCGGCCGGGGCTCGAACCCTCGACCTCCCGCACAACAGTCCAGCGATCTATCCATTGAGCTAACCGGGAGGCGGTTAACCCGAGTGAGGCTCCGAATGAGTACATCTTCTCTCTAATACAAGCCACATCATAGCAAGATGAGTAACCTATTCTTCTAAGGTTTCGATGATACTCAAAAGCAACGGAAATAGATGCGTTCAACGAGGTCATATCTTGAGTGCGAGAAGTATAAGTTGGTCCCGGGTCTGAAACTAATTAATAGGAGAGGGTATAACTGAGACTCCGAAATATCCAGTGGCCTTTACGTACAATTTTCCTGGGAGTCTTCTCTTCCTACAATTCGTTGGCAGATTCAAGGTGGAAGAAAAGGTGATTTTCGAAGTTGGTAAGAGATCATCTATCTACATTGAATCGCCTTCAGGTTGTCTTTGCCTACTGAATTAGTATAGGAGGTAAACGTGGTGCTGCGTGGGGAGAGGGTAAAAAAAAGAAAGAAAATTCGATGTTATCAACAGATTTGATAAATGTAAAAACTTTGTAAAGCTGACATTTCAAGCGTTGGCCCCTCGTTGTTTCCTAAAATATCCGAGACGTACACAAGTTAGCTGACCCCGCGGCTGATCCAACGTAACTTTACCGGCCATCGTAAAATTACTTTGCATGTCACACAAGGATCCACTAACGTTTGTTTCTCAATGTAAATTTCACTGAAAAATCACGCAAGTTTCGCAATATATTAAATGGTCTCTTCAAACCTCAGCTTTTGGTTTGGAAAAGCTAACAACGGCATCAAAAACAAGAGAGCTTACGACCCAAGAAAAGAAAATGACAATATTTATAGTCTTCTGGAGGCTATTTCTGCAGAAATTTTCATTTCATTGTCGGGAAATTTGTCTCCCCGCATTCACTACTCACGTGCGCTGGTGATCCAAAAGGAGAAAGGTCTCTCATCATTTTTCAAGCTGACAATTTTTGGCCAATCAGATAGCTAGTTCCAGTATATCAGAGAAATCGGGCGGTCACCAAGAAATTATACAAGATAGGGTGGAAAACTGTCATGAGTCACATTTTATATAACGCGAACTCTTACGAAGAGCTGATTAGTCCTTTTCCAAAACGATTCAAGATGAACACCACAGATACGCAGAACAACACTTTCCTCTTCACTTCTGAATCCGTTGGTGAGGGACATCCCGGTAAGTTTCAATTCTTTTCCCATCATTTTATCGTCCTCTTCCATGCACGCCGCTTCAATGTCCCATAAAGTGACCCTGAAGTTCATCTCCTCGACTTTCAATTTTGACGGACATGTGTTATTTCTTTGTAGACAAGATCTGCGACCAGGTTTCTGACGCTATCCTGGATGCCCATCTTAAACAGGATCCCGATGCTAAAGTCGCGTGTGGTAAGTGAAGAAAGGGTGGCCTTGAGTACGTTTAAGCGTTGTTTATAACACAGAAAGTGTACATAATTATTTTGTCATACTTAAGCTCGGAACCTGCTTGAAATGCTGAACAGTCTAGGCTTGTTGATGACACACCAGTTTAAGAAAGTTCATCTAATCGCTTAAGCAAAATTGAAACATCGGCTCCTATTAGAAGTTTGTAAAATGTCCAATTTGTGCGATGTGTATTGTTTAGGTGGGAGGAGAAATTTATGCGAATGAGGTCAGAAAAACTGATTTCCCTTAAATTATCAATTACGGTTGGTTTTCTTGATATTCTCCTGATTCCTTCCTATTTGGAGTTCTGTTCGTTAATTGTGTTTTCTCGATTTCTGTCTCGCGGCGTAGCGTACTTTTGGTGGCTGTCCGTCTCCATGCATATGGCAGTAATTTCCCGGGACGTAGTGAAATTGCGTAATAAGCTATTCTGTTATTCATCAAAATCACATGAATGTATCCCGAACCTTTTCTAGGTTTCTTCTTATGCTTCCTTCTTTAACGAATTGTTTTTTAATTAAAAGATTCCCTTTTGGGCGAATGTTGTTTTTTTGCGTCGTGATTTTCGTAGTAGCTTGCTGCGTAGAACTTGTTCCACCTCTTGATAAACCGGTTCAGATGTAAACACAACACGTTTTAAACTTTTACGCACGAAGTAGTACTATTATTCTTTCAGCGAAGTGACGATGGCGCATATTCACCAAATTTTAATTTTAATATGCTATAGACCAAAGATCAAGTATATTTTGACATAAATGTGGTGATAAACTTCTAAATCGATCGCGAAACTATTCGAATTCGATCAGACTTTATATCGTGCATCAAGTAAATGACCATAAACTTCACACTTAGATATCTCGAAAGACCTGTTTCTGTGAAAAAAACGGAGTATCATTTCCAGTCGCACCAGAATAACGGGAAAAAGCTTGTTGCGGTAGTTAAGCAAGTTTTCTGAAAGTTATGGCCTTGGCCTATGAAATGAATTCTGAAATTCATCGTGAATAACTGAGCACGTGTTAGTGACACGATCATGCGAAGGGTTGATTGTTTACAAACCGAATATTCCTCTAAGAGTTCAACTGTAATAAAAAATTTAGTCATACAACGGGGCCATCACACCAGTTGATTGCGGGAAAAAATGAAATGTGTGATGTGCTAATGTTATTTCTTTCCATGTGAACAGAAACCGTTTCCAAGACTGGCATGATTCTTGTGTGCGGTGAGATCACATCCAAGGCTGTTGTTGATTATCAAACCGTTATTCGTGACACAATCAAGAAAATTGGTTATGATGACTCAAACAAAGGTAAAGTCTGTTATGCAAGTTGAATCGACACTTCTTTGTCTCTATTTGAACTGTTACCATTGCAGGTTGGAATCACTTTACGTTTGTAGTCTCTCTTTGTTTAACTTGACCATATTTATACTAAAATTAAATCTGCTGAGATATTCTTTTATTTTCAGTTGTCAATGATTGTTAACATCTTCACAAATTTTATCTTTTTTGCAAGATGTTTTTGCTGAAGTACACTTGTATGATCGCTTGTTTTTCAGGCTTTGATTACAAGACATGCAATGTGTTAGTTGCCCTTGAACAGCAAAGCCCTGACATTGCCATGGGTGTACACACGGGTAGAAAGGAGGAAGATATTGGTGCTGGTGACCAAGGTCTTATGTTTGGCTATGCCACTGATGAGACAGAGGAACTTATGCCTCTGACAGTAGTCTTGGCTCATAACTTGAACCGAAAGCTTGCAGAGAAGAGGCGTGATGGATCCATGTCCTGGCTGCGACCTGACTCCAAGACCCAAGTCACTGTTGAGTACAAATCTGAAGGAGGTGCAGCCATCCCTCTCAGGGTTCATACCATTGTTATTTCCACCCAACATGAACCAGATATCACTCTGGAAGAACAGAGAAGGCAGCTCAGGGAGAAAATCATTAATGTATGTCGGTGAAAAATTTCAGAAGATAGAGAATTTACTAAGAGCTCCCTGAATTTCATTATTTAAGTATCTAAAGTGTTGATGAAAGTGGCTTGGTTAACTTTAAATTGCCTTTTTAAGTGGCTATTGTTATTGAGGTTGTAATTTTCAAGTTTAAAGTTTACTGATATGCCTCTGGTTTACAGTGTCTTAATCTTGTGTATTGGTTGTGTTATGGAAAAGAAATAACTTTTTACTTTTCTACTGAATCATTTGATGTGGAAATTTAGTTTTTGGAAAAGCTGTGTCTTGTTGATAAATAATGATTAATTTTGGAATGAATGGAAAAACACTTAAAATGTCTGTTGTATATTGACACCACAGTTACACTAGGAAAACTGTGAGCATCATGTGGTTAACATACTTAAAATCTGTTACAGTGATCTTGTTGCAAATGTTGTAATATTTCCTATGTGATAGGAAGCTAGTTATTTGTAAATTTTTTTATGTCTTTGAAAAACAGCGAGAAACTTTTAATATTAAACTTGGCACAGACCAAACATCTGGAAATCAATGGAAAATATATCATAGAAGTAGTGAGCCTCTCTCAGAGAAAAAAATCTGAATTCTTGCTTTCTGCTATGTTTATTTGCAGGAAGTCGTCCCTGCTAAGTATCTTGATGATAGTACTATTTATCATCTTCAACCATCTGGTGCATTTGTGATTGGAGGCCCTCAGGGTGATGCTGGTCTGACGGGAAGAAAGATTATTGTAGACACTTATGGCGGATGGGGTGCACATGGTGGTGGTGCCTTCTCTGGAAAGGACTACACTAAGGTTTGTTACATTTATACAATCCTAAAAAATTCTACAATTAGGTGTGATTTTCTTTCTTCTCAGTGCTATACATTTTGTCGTTCTCCATACCCTCAAGTGGATATTTTAGTGTGTTTACATCACCTGTTAGCTAGATAGTGCATTGACATCATTATCAAAATTCCTCTAATCACTTTGTAGATAATGAGGTTTTGTTTACTGGATGCGAACCTTGCTTCAAAAGCTCTTTCTTGAACAAGTCTTTAATTTTGTTACTTTTTCGATCTTTAAAAAGACATAGAACAATAATTTGTCAGAAAGTGTGTACATGTCTTGTAACCTAACTTGTGTGGCCCTTTTCAGGTTGACAGGTCTGGTGCTTATGCAGCACGATGGATTGCCAAGTCTCTTGTTGCAGCTAAGCTGTGCCGGCGTGCTCTTGTTCAAGTCTCGTATGCCATTGGTATTGCTGAGCCTCTTTCAATCACAGTGTTCTCTTATGGAACTGGCAAGAAGACTGAAGATGAACTCTTGAAAATTGTTAGGGACAACTTTGACCTTCGCCCAGGAATGATTGTCAAGTAAGTTCTGTTTAACTGCTAATCATTTAGGCTCGACTGTTTATTATAAATCTTACTAAAATTTCAAGCACCCTGGGTTAAATGTCATTACTGATAAAATTTTTATAATTGGGACCATTAATACGCTCCTTTTTTTATTTCTTTTAAAACATGGAAGAATTGTAATCCCTTAAAAAGGGTGAAGATCTGGCTATAAAATATACACGTACGTTTGACCTCTTTGCTTTGTTATTTTGATTAATTTTTTTTTTGTTCCATCCTTTAGAGATCTTAAGCTGAAGAATCCCATCTATCAAGATTCATGCACCTATGGTCATTTTAAACCTGGCCCTGGCTTCACGTGGGAAGTTCCTAAGAAGCTAGTTTATTAAACAAATTTGCAATTTTGACACTTGGAAACATGTAGAGGAAAGTGACCCTTGGATTGGACTCAGATGATTCAACCTAAAATTAGATTTTAAAAGCCTCTAAATATAAATACTCCAAAGTAGAAAAACATGAGTTATCACTGTCTTAGTTTACTATATGTATTTTCATTTATTCCAAATGCACAGTGTATCGGGTAATTTGTATTTGCTAGTGTGGCTCTTGTATTCTGCTGTAAAAAGCAATAAGCTTCTTTAAGGAAAAGTAATGTGAAAACAGAAAAGTTAAATATTTTATATTAACAAGAAGAGGGAGCAGTATAGGACCTGTGGCAAAGTACAACCAAACTAAATTATGTTTATTTATTATCTGGTGAACAGTCAGTCTCCCAGCCTGTTGGAGCAACCAAAGAAACTTGACAACTGAATGAACACATGGAGATGTCAAGTATTTGTCATTATTGTGTTTTTAATTTTTTTGTTTGTTTCTTGGTTAATTGTATGATGCCGTTGAAGAATGTAATCCAATAAGAATAAAAGGACAAGGAATGGTTATTTCATAAACTTGTGGTCTGTCTTCTTTCCTCTTTAAGTAGTGTGCCCCTTTTAACTTATGATTGAGCCTGTTCAATTCTTTGCTGAGTTCTAAGTAAGCTTATTTTCTACTGGTCAGATTTATTTTTTAAGATCTTGCAATCTTTTAAAAAGGTCATTCCCTTGACCCTCTAACCCCTTATAGTGACTAGCACCTAACTTTTCCTTACAACATCACCCCTGTATTACACATGAAGGTCAAAAAAGTAAAGGAAATGTGCACTAACTAAAGATACCCTTAATTGCGAAACAATTTGCCCTTCTACCTGGAAAAGTATGCAAAAGATGCATTCTGTGAGGTTGGAATGTAAAGGGTTATATGGGCTTGTCCGGGCATTTTATTTTCTTGCCTCAATTTTGAGTTGCAATCCAAAGAAATAGTTTCTGTTTGAGTTGACATTTTTTTTTTCTTTCTTACCATTTTCACTGCATTACCGCAGTAGGGTAGGACTAGAATGGAACATATGCAAACCATGTGAGTAGTCCACCCAATAAATACCACCCATCCCACCCCAGGGGAGGACATCCATCACACAGTAATTTCGTGCATGGGAAATTAACGTCTCCTACCCCTGACCCTGTAGCAGACGGGAGCTCCATTTGTTCATCCCTATCCGATAAGACTAGAATATGTAACCATTTCAGTCTTGATGTCATAGAAAGGTAGCATATTCTTCTCAATTACTTTAAGACCTTGAGTGTTAGTCCGGCCAGGGCTTGAACCCTCGACCTCCCGCACGATAGTCCAGCACTCTATCTATTTCAAGCTAACCATTCCCCAAACTGTAGGGTGAAGGGCAAGGAAGATCCTAACCAGAAGGAAATGCATTAAAATGAATAGGGTTACAGCTAAGGGTCAATGGAAGGGGAGGAGTAGATGAGAAGGATGAACCTCAACCTACAAGGAAAGCACTTACGTAACTGAGTCAAACATAACCTTCTCTGTCTTTCAAATTTTGCTGGAATGAACTTTACTGATCAAAATTTGAGGTTGTATAATCAGACTACTGGTGAAATGGAATCTGTTGTCTTGATGACCTATCTCGCTAAATGGGGAGAAAAGTATTGTGCTGTGACACTAAACAACTCTGGAGTACCAGTGGTTATCTGTCAGAAAACAGGGTAGGGGTGGAAGGGAGAATATGTTGGCAGATGAGGAGCAAGACTTGCAAGATAGTCTAGGGGTTGTTTCTCAAAAGACCTGCACCAAAACCGTGTTTTATTACCACAGTTTCTGGAATAGTCTTGGCTCAAAATCCAATCCAAAGTGTTTTCTCTCCTGACATCCCCACTGCTGAATTTTTAAAACAATTGATACATTAATATTAAGTGTAAACTCAGGTCTTTGGGATATGAAATTACCGGGGTCCCTGGTTAGATTATGCTCTTGGAGACTGGGGTCAGTCTACTATAACCTGATCACTGTTGCTACTTGCAATTTGTGATCTCCATGACTTCTCTCAGTAATTAGAACATTTCTGGCTAAGACTGACAAGAAATCAGTCCTGCAGGTCAATATTCTTTGCAAGTGGTCACACTTCATGCCTCACCAATCTCTGCAAATAGATTTCTCTTGAAACTAGACTGTTACTAACATGAAAGCCATGCAAAATTTGGCAGAGACAGCCTTGAGAACAGGCTTGTTTCTTTTTTTGCACACCTTCCTCTCCATGCAAGCGACTTGAATGCACACACCGCTTGTTTCTTTTTTTGCTCGCCTTCCTCTCCATGCAAGAAACTTGAATGCACACACCGCTCCCCTCCCCCAAAAAGAAGTGCATTCCTGCAAGCTGTAGTCATTTGGTAGGAATAATAAAGCAGATGAACTCTGCACCATCATCCTGACATGTTATTCAAGCAAACCACTGAAAGTGCTTCATTTTTTAAAATTTCCTTTACTTGAAAAGAGGATGCTATCATCACTGAAAATAACCAACATTTATTATTAACTATATCAAAACTTTACATTATCTATCTTTGACAATTTAGTTGCAATTTTTCAATGCAATGTTGAGCAGTCTTTCATTAAAGATCATTATAAAACTAACATCAATCCATATTTCACTACTTCTGTCTATAAAACAGTTCACAAGAAAGAAAAAAAGCATTTAGTGCAGCACATCTACAAGAGGAACTGTCCATCAAGATTTATCCTATCAATTTTATGTGTTATACTTAACAATAATACACGAGTTTATTTCTTTTGAGGGAGAGTAAAATAAAATATGTTACTTGGCAGCTAGTGATGAAATCATGATCTAAAATATGAACTTTACTGAAGGAATGTTTCTTGTAATACAATGAGCTAGCATATGGTTACTTTCAATTTTAAAAATATAAGTTGTGTTGTGGATATGAATCAAGAAAGTTGTTTGAGAGGTAAACCATTTGAATTTCTATAAAACTTCCACAAGTAACAGCATAAACTAAATAACTAAATCCTTGAGATGACTGTACATAGCACTTAATTAAACTATATGAAAAAGAAAGGTTATCATACATGTGACACAAAAGTTATGATTCAGAAAATTTTTGGTTATGTACGCAAAATGCATCATATTCTCTGTCAGTTTATTTTTCTAGTTTCAGCCTTAAAGGTATTTAAATTTTAATTTTTTCCAAAGACTTAACTTGCAGGGAACTCTTAATTTTGTGGAAAACAAAATAAGTTTTCACTGACTGATCAATTTGAGGATAGTCAATCATATTAGTTCCCATTAAGAATTGAAATGAAGTCCACAGCATATTAATCCTGTTGAGAATTTGAAAACATAGTCTGACTGAAAATAAACTACAAAAAGAAATTGATTCTCAATCATACACCAAATCCTTTAAAAATACTTAGTTAAATGAAAAGATGAAGTGATAAGGAGACATATCATCAAAAACAAAGCACTCCCATAAAGAATTGTATCAGAAACACACAGAACCCTGCTATTAATTTCAATTTATGATTCTGAAACCTTCCTTCACACTTTCTCAGGATTTGTCTTTTAATGTAAAAATGAGTTTTTTGACATGTATAAAGTACAAAAATACACTACATTAACACCAAGCAATACCTTTGAGTATGTTTGAAAAGTCAACTCTAGCAAAACAATCTACACGTCTTTGTTCATCCAAATAAACACATGTACAAAACATATCCTTAAATTGATGAAAGATTCATACACGACTCTGAATACATGGACATGTTCACCACCCTGCACTTAAATAACAGAAAGTCTGAGAATTAGCATCACACTGGCCTTTTCACTCAAACTGCAGTATATCATCATCAAAACAGCTATCTACAAGTAGGAACAAAGAAAACAGATCAATATCCCCTTTTATTACACGACTCGGGCAGTCAGAGGGCCAAAAACTAAAATCAACCAATCAAAATGATCTATTGCCAGTCAATATTCTCTCAGTATTGGACAGGGCACTGTCCTGAATGGTCCCGAATGCTGCCACACTTGTGTCCCTTTGAACTTCAGTCGTATAATAAATCTCTTATTAACCAAGCTTGCTCAGGACCGTACTGAAAGAATATCAGCCCTCAGTCTTTTTTTGTACAGACCTCGCTGCGCTCGGTCCGTACTGTCAAGACCTCAGGCCAATATTCTCCCAGTATGGCCCTTGTGCTTGGTCAATAAGATATATATCAAACATTTAAGTCATGACCTTGCTAAAGCCTCTGAAACTATGTACAGTGTTTCCTAGGAGGTTCACTTCATGATTGACTGTAGTATAAGAAGACACATGTTCAAAATTGAATCTACAACCTCCTAAGCTTGTATGTTATTGAAATGTGTAGCACTACTGGGATTATCTTAAATTGCTCTAACTGTAATTACACATAAAATTAATCTAATGGTATCTGTTAATAACACTGATTGCATATCAAATAAAGAAACAGTGCTAACATTCAGTTTGCAATAACATAAACTGCATTCAAGTACCTAAAGAAAACTCTCCAGCTATGGAAAATAAATGACAGACAGAACTGAGAATAGATATTTAGATATTAAGACTAAACTTCATCTGAAACAACTCTTTGCAATTTGACTTAAAACTTATGTTGACATTCAGCATGATACATGTATAAGTGAATGCAGAAATGAAACAATTAGCAATTAATTTTTTTGGACTTAAATTTTACATTTTTCCACCATGAAAATTACTGATTTAAGCTTCTTAGCTTCCTGCCATAAACTAAAGAAGATTATTAGGTAACACCAAATGTGTTACCATGAAAAGCTAAGTTTGCCCTAACACCAAATCAGAGTTTTTACAAATATACACTACCAAAACATTTTGTCACACAAAGTGAAAGACAACTAAACTTTATCCTTGTTTGTGAGTTTTTCTATAAGTTCCTGAAGTGGTGCAAGCTCTCTTTTGTCAACAAGACCAAACTCTTGAACAAAGAACATGAAATGCTTGAAGGAAGTGTTTAGATGCGCCTCTTCACCAAGTCCTACAATATGGAGGAAGTGTTGGTGGTATATGTGTGCATACACCCTGAACAGTCGTTTGAGGATTGTCTTGGCAATGGACAAAAAGTTCTTTGGGAATGGAACACCTGTTGTGAAAGAAGAAACAAATTTCAAGGAAAGCAAAGAAGGAGCAGTGGCCGTGGATAGACAAAGAAACCTGGTTGAGTTCATGAATGGATTTAATCCTTTCTTTGAGGATATCCATATTTCAAAATGCATCATCAGAGCTAAGAACCATTATATACATACTAAGATTATCAGTTGAGTGAGATACACAACAAGTTTGGTGACTTAGTTTTGACCATAAAATAATGGTATTGTCAGGAGCAACTTTCCTCGTTTCCAATGGTAACTCAATTAGCCATGTTTGTCAAGATTGTAATATCAAAATGTGGTCACCAAACTACTCTTACGCCCCACAAACTGAAAATCATAATAACCTTGTAAGAAAACTGTCTTCAAATCTGAATAATGAGGATGCTTGTCACATTTAAAGATAAGGAGAGACTTGCCAAAAAGTTCTCAGTACCTCAGTTAATTTACCCTTCAACCTCACAAACCAAAATGGGTCACATGAAACCCAGGTTCTTTTTTTTCTAACATTACTACAATCGCTGCTATTAAAACAAAGTTACTATGTCTTACCTATTTTTGAAGGAAAGAGGGTCTCATCATCTAGCTGATCCTGAACCCATGTCATAAGGTAATCAATGTATTTTGGAGCTGAACATTTAATCGGTTTTTTGATTGTTGTTCCATCTGCCCAATGGTATTCATACCTAAAAGGTTAAAAGGAAACAAAACAACTCTCTGAAAGCAGTATGATAAGTATCTGAAAAGTGGAATCCTCAAAAGGAAATAGTATAGAGGTAAACCTCTGAATTCTGTAACTATTTTCTTTACTTTCTGTTATGAAGATTACTGTAAAAAGATGCGAGGCCAGCAGATTGCAATCTATCATACAATAATACTTGTCCTCTCCACCTGGTACAGAGGACAATGGACTGCATTTGGCAGTACTTATATGGTTTTCTTGCCAAGGTTTGTACACATACCCTTGCACAAAATCAAAAACATTTTCCAGACTAATTCTTCACCATTTTTAGCTATTTATCACACTTTCCATTGTGAGTAAATTCAAAATGCATGGGCCTAATAGTGGTTATTTAGAGGTTTTCAAACAATTGAAATTGCTTCAACTGAGCTCATATTATTTTAGTGCAAAGAAGAGAAAATTGTTCTTTGTTTTTTTTTTTTTTTAGTTTTTACACAATTCAATTTCTCTTCTGATGAGTATTCTTGGGGTCAGTGAAAAACATGCACTTAAGTTATCGCTTTGGCTCAAACTTGGACATACAGCAGTAACATCGTGATATTTTGGAAAAGGAACAAAACAGAAATTAAGTCAATAATTATATGATTATCACTCTTAATGTGTACACTCACTTTGGACCAGCAGACATGACAGCACAAGACTCGACAGTACAGAACTCTGTTATCGTTCCATATAACATATTGATTTGATTGAAGAAATCCACAGCTAAGTTAAAAGTGAAAGTAGGTGATTACTGACTTGAAACTGAGATACATCAACTCTGATGTGGAAGAAAAAACAAGCAAAACGCCAAAGAAGTAACATATCAAATTTCTGTGGGAATAAACATCGCAAATGTTTTAAAAATACAAACAGCGAACAAGAATTAATGACATATAACTTACTATTTACAGCCACCCATTCGTTAAGGTCTTCTCCTTCAGGTAACATAACCGCAAGACGAAGGTTTCCGCTTCCAAGAGTTGCGGCGGCGTGTTTCATCAAATCATATTGGTGAGTCCCTTCGGGAATGTTTTTCTTGGGTTTAAAGGTTTTTGTCGAACGGCCACCGCTAAAAAATCAACGAATATCATCCTTAGCTAAATAGTTTAGTTCACTTCACTGTTGGACGTATCCTCAATTTATATACCCACATACAAGAAAACTTTGCTCTGATACTATCGATAATCGAAGAATATTTTCTGTACTGCTGCCAAAAACAAAGATTGTGATGCCTAAGTCATTATGAAATCATTGAAACTCACAATAGGAAGCTCATCCTGTTTGTAAATCAGCGTAAAACTTCCAATATTTATTACGCAGTGAACTTCTGTACAAGTCAAAATGGCGACCTTCAAAGGATGCCTCGTTTTCGCGATTGCTTGGTGTGAATCACAGCGATGATGTCATCACATCAAGGACATTCCAGAAGGTCAACATATGCTTTAGCAATTAACAAATTTTTGGTACTCATTAACAAAAATTATCCTAGCTTTCAGAACCTGTGAGACCAGTAACCGGCTTTAGCACGGAATCTCTCAAGTCTGTTCTACATATTATTATCCTTGAGTTCCTAAAATGCGCACCTTTATTCAGATTTTGAGATTTCATTTCAGTTGTGGTTGAAATTCTATTTCCGGGTTACGAAGTCTTTGTCCAATGTCAATCCCATGACAACATCATCAAGTCCAAATATACAAAGTACATAGAAACTGAGTACTCGTTCATGAAAAACAAACTCGCGACCTTCGAATGAAAACTCCCTGAAAATCTTGAATGGAAATAAATTTGATTGATACGGATTCACTCTAAAGTAAGAATTAATTGATTCTCGTGGAAGTCTTGTCTTTTGATATAAATGCCGGTTGTCATCAAAATCTGTTTCGATTTGAAGCAATTTAACTATTAGGAGACCAACAGATGAAGTGAACAAAGGGGAAACCAAGGGGCACTTGTTCCTCGATTTTTCGTTCCAATGATCTACTTGCTACGATAATCGATGTGCCCTGGGAACGAGAGTTGCGAATGTTCGTCTGGTGGCTTGCAACCAATCTCTAGAGACACAGGTAACAATGGTGAAAGGAACAGGGATGGTGGACGAACAAAAGAAGCTAATGAAATATCTCTTTCTACTGCGAGGATCGTGCATCATACGGAAATATCTCTTGTTTACGTCCACCGACAGGGCAGCAATGACGTAACGTGCAAACCACCTATGAAGTACAAACAATATCAGGCAAACAAGCCATGTTGTATTTAATCCTCGAGAGTATCAAGTGCATAATGACTGTTCCTCAGCTGAAACACATGGTGTTACACTCAAATGAAAATGTTGGGGCCTGAAATTCCTCTTCAGTCCAATGAATACCTTAAAATGTGGGGAAACCCACGAGCGACCATAAGCGGTTACAAAATAAATTAAATAACCTTTCTAGCGGAAGAATTCATAGGAAATGCACCCTTCCTTCACTGTAAGGGTAAGTAAACCTTTACTAAAGTGTCGATGTGTTTAGCCTAGATGGACTAATTGGGGACACCAATAAAATAGCAACGCTAATGTACAATTTGAAACACTGTTTCCTTCAATAATTCCCTCTGCGGTTTCTGCTTCAGCTTAAAAAAGGTGTTTTGCGTTGAAGTTCTTGATGCTCTCTCACTGCTCATTGACGATGGAGTTCGACGATGTAGTTCTACACTCAAGTGAGGCTTACCACTGTCTGCACAAAGAAATTTGAAAATAATGAACCCTTTACACCCCAACATTACTATGCTTATTCTCCCCACTGTTCTCTTTACATTTCTCTTAGGTACTTAAAAGGAGAATTTGTTTAACAATCAAGAGACTCTTAGTTGGCGATTATTTCATTTTTTTTCTTGTATTCAAAGGTGATACTATGATACTGTAAGGAGAAATTTGATTGAACCAGTTATTCTTAGGGGTTAAAGGGCTAAAACTAGCTAGGGGAGAAAATAGGATTTCCCGTGGACTGAAACAACGGGCCGGTTAATTTTTATCGAGGTCACCCTAACTACGGGTTAAAGCAATCAGTGGGGCTCTGGCTTTCTTTACAAGAGGGTTGATTTAATTAAATAAATGTCCTTCCGCTGTTAGCATTCGGCCTTGTGACATTGTTCCCAACAATAAATGAGTAGATAACAGATTCAGCGNTAATTTTCGCTTAGAAAATACTGAGCACTCACTCGAAAAAATTACGGTAACCAGGTCTGGTGGATTACAAGTGGAAACGGAAGAGTTGCGCAAATAGCACTGCTGTAAATAAATCGATTTATTACGAACCCATATGGGTCCCAGAAAGTTGAAAAAAAAGTTCACACATACTTTTATTAACATTACTTTCCTTGCAGTGAATGAAAACCTGATAAATAGCTTCAATATGTTGAGAAACTCATGGCAAGTTCCTTCCTTTTTCTCATACACGGCAAAGGTTTATATGAAGTTACTACAGTCAGTACATACGTGTATATATTTTAGAACAAATACGATTTGAAAGGCATATCTTGGATAAAAAGGAAAGAGTGCCTTTCACAAAACATGACAAGCTAGCTACTTTGTAGAACTGAACGTTAAGTAAAGTAAGGGGAAAAAAAGTAATGTTCATGGTATGAAAATCAGTGACAAGCAACTTAAAGCTTGTAAAATAATATACAGGGATCTAACACGACACAAGGGTTACATATGCAAATGTCCTTTGTATGTCATCGTAGTTAAAAAAAGAAAAAAATCACTGATATCCAGGATAAGACACCATGCCTGGGTTGGCTGCGGCTTGGGGCTCCTGCTTAATTTGAGTCTGCATGCCACCAAAGAATGATCCTCCAGCTGATGCCCCATATGCTGAGCTGTCTGTATATGCCGTCTGTTGCTGTTGTTGTTGTTGCTGCTGCTGCTGCTGCTGCTGCTGCTGATTAAAAGGAGTGTTCTGTTGAGCAGGATTGCTAAAGGCTGCCGGAGTTGCATAACTGGCTGTGTTCATTGCTGTGTTCATAGCTGTATTCATGCCAGTGTTCATGCCAGTGTTCATGCCAGTGTTCATGCCAGTGTTCATTGCTGTATTCATCCCGGTGTTCATTGCTGATGACATCTGCCCTCCATAACCTGATGCACCATAGTTAGTACTCTGCCCATAGTTAGACTGTGAGGCAAAGTTTCCACTGCTGGGAGCTGAACCAAACCCAGCAGAGGCAGTGTTACCAAAGGTGTTGCCTTGGTTGCCAAAATTCCCACTGCCACCACCTTGCAACTGATTGCCAAAGCCGCCTTGCTGTTGCTGCTGCTGGTTGTTGAAGCCAGTGTTCTGGTTTCCTTGGCCACCAAATCCTCCCATGTTACCTTGGTTGTTAAAGCTATTTCCACCACCACCACCACCACCACCAAAGTTGTTAAAGTTGCCGCCATCATTAAAATTTCCTCCTCCACCGCCAAAATTTCCTCCTCCAAAGTTATCTCCTCTGAAGTTACCACCTATTGACAAGATAGGAAAGTTAGTTTTAACATACTGTTTAAGAAATTATAGATAAACTTCTTTAAAGTAATTGGACATAGGAGGATGATGCTCTAAAGCAGTCAAGTCCGCCTTTCAGACTATTTGCTCCCACTGCCCGAGTTTGTACTGGTTTAAAATGCATTTCTGGATTTTGTTCTAGCACCCTATCCTTGTATTCTACAAGAACTGACTAGGGGTATTTATTGCTGTTCTAGAATACATTACAGGGCATAAATAACCTTTTTTCAAGTAGCCCTTGGCTCTTAAATATTTTAAAGTGATTGCCAATTAAAAAAAATTGGTCACCACTTTAAAACACATTGTACTAGATAGTGTCCAAAATTATGAAAGTGAATGGATGCTTGTCAACAATTAAAATCAACGAATCTTTATGGCCTTCCCTTTGAATCATGGATAACTTGCTCCTAAATCTTACATTCCCCAAAAATTACCCAGGCCCCAGCTCATGGAACAAGCTCATTATCTTAAACATTTAAACACATTCAATTCCACCATCAAAACTAGTTGACACGTTATGTTTGAGGAGTGCTAATTATGTGAAGAATAACAAGTGTGTTTCTACCACACACTAAATCATAAACAGATCCCCTTCCAAATTCAATGTTGGCTAAAAGTCCATGGAATCATGATACAACATTGTTTGGGAGAAGGGGCAAAATGGTTAACTCAATGTGGGTGAAAGAGATAAACTTGAGGTAATAGGGGGTTGAAAAGATGGGTGGAAATTATTTCTTACAATTATAGTTGCTCTTTGTTTCCTTCTTATAAATAATTGTTCTTTATCATGTGGAAAAGCCTCTTATACCACAAACATATCAAATGAAGATTTACCACATGAACTTGATGGCCTGCACAGCCCATGACAACGACCACAGTTTGTGCAGCCATCAGAATGTACGTCAAAAGTACATTTCAAGAAAGCACTTGTTACAAGAAGGAATACAAACAGAGCATTCTGCAAGCCCTTTAATACAATCAACTAATAAACTGATCAGAAGACTTTTACAACCAATGGGTATTTAAAATAAATGTCTTGGCTTCTTAATTGAAAAAAAAAAATCTAGAAGTACCTCTTTATCCAGAACCTTCTAATGGTGTTTTGAAAACACTGTTATTGATCATTAATTTGATGACACTTCCAAAAAACAGAAAACTGAACCTTATGAGAATATCTTATTACCTTAATTTTATAACCAAGGAAAAAATCATTTTAAAACTCTTTTTTCAGGCCACAAAATGCTTCCTATTTCAAACACAGCTTTAAGATTGGTGTTTGCTTCCTTTGCTCTAAAGAGGACACCAGGATGGGTCTTATAAGAAACTTAAATTTAAAAAAATCCTAGATGCAATCATTGAACATGTATGTGCTGCTTTTTGGAATTGAAACAAACTTATCAACTTGAAGGAAGTTTGCTGCAGATCTATCATTAGGAATCCTAACAATCACCTACTCTCCAAGTAATGCATGCTGAACCAATCTAGTTGCCACTTTGGCAAATAATTTTCAGGATTTGGTCCCCAAAGTGAAAAAGTTAGTTGCATTGGTGCCTGTACTAGGTGCAAGTTTATGCCCTGCATAACTCTTTATCCCTTTATCCCATTATCCCATTATTCCACTATTCCATTGCATAACTCATTATCCCATTGGAGTGACTAACATTAATTTCTTCTTGAAGTACCACTCCCAAAACAAAAAAAGGCTTCAAGAATAGAGGAAGCAATTATAAACTAAAGAAGCTCTTGAGTTTTATACATATTCTCCTTGTCAGTGAGATGGCAGGTGAAAGGAGAACAGTAAGGAGACTATTTGTTTTTATGCCAAGATGATAAGGGTTAAAACATGTATACAAATCAAGAAACTGTACTTACCACCTCCACCACCATGTCCACCACCAAAGTTGTGCCCTCCTCCTGAGCCACCCCACCCCTGGCTGTTTCCACTCTCAGGATTGGACCGCAAGAACAGCTCTATGTAACGATGACCTGAAAATAAGGCATGGTAATGAATTATGAGAATCAAAATCACTTCAATTTTCTTGAATGTATACAAGTGCTTATTTCAATGATGTAATGTTGATCATAAAGTGTTGCTTGCTACCAATTTTGCCCACCAAAAGCGACAAAGTTTAACCATGATTTTATTTTGAAACCTTAGTTCAACAACAATAACTTTCATCAAAGATTAATTCTTTGATCATTAGGAGGAAATAAAACTTCCTACCCATTGATGATTTGTTTTTCAACATAGCCGCTTGTGCATCTTCATGTGTTGCAAAGTCCACATCCACTTGCCCATTGAAAGAACCATTGTCATATTCCATCCATACACTAACAGGGTTAAGAGGCATAAAGAACTGTTTAACATCACTCTCCTTGGCAGCATATGGCAGTCCTCGCATGTGAACAGTGTGACCAGTGCTTGACATCATTCCAAAGTTACCACCTCCTCCACCACCCCTTCCATGACGAAATCCACCTCTGCCTGATCCTCTGCCTCCACGGCCACTTCGACTTCCTCCCCCGCGTCCACCTCCATATCCATTGAAGTCACCACCATAACCACCACCAAAGACTGGACCTCCAAGGTTACCTCTTCCCCTGTATCTGTATGGTAAAGAACTTTTTTAACCTTTTCACTCCCAATATCTCCTCAATTCTCTGCACTGTTTACTGTACATACCTTACAATTTAAAATGCAAGAGTTTGGTCTGAAATCAGTTGACATCCCCATGTTCACATTTTCTTACTTCTCTCAAATTTTCCACTCAAAAATATTTTAAGATTGTAAGGAGAAAGTCCTTCTTTTGGTCACTCCTGGAAGTGAAAACTCTCTCCAAAACATGTTTACAGGTAAGGCTAGGTGCTTCCTGAAACCCCTACCCAAATTTAGAGAATAAAATGAGATTTTACTCTCATCTGTTTTACATCAGCCAGAAAAATTATATTGGACCCAACACAACTGAGGAGTCAGAGGTCAGAAGTTCATCAAAATGCCTTACAATTCCTTCAAAATAAGAGATAACTGATGGTAGAAGTGACTTTTAACGTGTCCAAAAAAATCAATTGGTAAATATTTTTTATGGAAATCCATACTTTGTATTTGCATTTCAAACGAGAAAGTGAAGAGAAAGACCAGTTAAATACATGTAGCTTGCCCTACACTGAAAAGAGGAAAATTACTGGAGTCTTTAGGGAGTCCCTGACATCATACTTCTTGATTTAATGCAACAGACCTTTGACTGGAATTGTTTGAAGTGACACCTTAACTATCTCACATTAATTACCTTCTTTCATTTCCACCTCCACCAAACCTTCCTCGTCCCCCACCAAAGCCTCCTGATCGGTCATAGGGTCCAGGTCTGGTTGACATCAAAGGTTTAAGTTTTGGGGCAGATACGTATTTGATATCTGTTTTTTTGCTTTTAAATATCTCAATGTATCTAGAAAAAGAGTTAAGCAGATATAGATTAGGGCATGTTCATTTAGTTGCAAGGAAATCATGTGTAATAGTAGCTACATGTACACAAGACAGATGTAAGTGCATGAAAGCTTTTCCTGCCGATTAAACCAATCACTGTAGGTAAAGGCTTACTAGCTAACAAGTTAATTGTAAAAAATGGAATATATAATGACTGACTGACAACATCTGTTTTTAAATAATTTAGAAATTGCCACGTAACTTTGCATATTTATCCCTGACCCTTAACATAAATTCAGTCAGGTAGCTTCTGAGTCACTGCAACAACTAATCTGTTTAATTAAATTAGGACTGGAAAAAAAGCAGTTGAAACTTTGTGAACATGCAATTCAATTCAACCAAAACCATAAGAATATTCAGGAAATAAAAAATGCTACACTACAAGGCCCAATATCGCAAAAAACTGACAAAATGCTACATCAAGTATTAATAGTAGATTCTGTAAATAGTAACATGCAGAAATTAAACCGTGGGTGATTGAAAATGTGTGTATCACAGTTAGATATCCTTAAGTCTGCACAGCACATACATGTTTATAACATTCATTACAAATAAAAACCACACAAAAAAAATCGACTGTAAACTTGCTAAGAATTATGCTACAAAGTAGAACTACTGGTACTCTTAGTAGCAACAAACATTTTCAACGACACTTAAAAATCATTCCAACATGAAGATGATATGGCAAAAGTAGCAGACCATCATGGATTTAATTTGGATATATCAACAAAGTTAAAATGGTAAATGGGCCACCGTAATGATTACAAAAGCTGATGTTTCGAGCGTTAGCCCTTCACCGGAGCGATTTATGGATTTATCCTAATAAACCTGCCCCAAAAACTGACTGATTGAATATGAACAAAAAAGTCTTTTGGTCCTCAATAAAGTACTTGTGATCTTCAACTTCAAGAATTTACATTCCCTAATTTTTAAATCTCAAGTAACCACAAATTCCATATCAGGAGGACAATGCCATTCAAATTATAGATAACAGTGTAGGAAATAAAAGACAAAAAACAAACATCAACAACATCATCAGCATTGTTATCAGCCTTGATTAGTGAAATTCATAAATACACACAGAATACAGATCAGAATACCTACCTAGCAATGTTTCACAGTGCAATTTTATGCAGAATTAAAGAAATACATTTGTAGTTAGAGAATACCAAATGGTTTTATGTCGGAGAATGTCAGACAGTTCTATATCACATGAATTACTCTTAGGTGCATCCAGTAAAAATGATACACTATATAAATTTAAGAAATAAATTTGCACTGTGAAACACATGACAAACAAGTACTGTACAAAACCAACCAACCAACCAGAATAACAGTAAATAGAGAGTTGTGCCCATGGTCGCATTCAGACCCACCGCACCATAACTATCCCCACCTGTGCCCTATTGTCTCTTTGTTTTTTTTCAGAGCCTGCTGAGCTATATCAGGAGTAGCAAATTCCACAAAAGCATCCCCCGTGGTCTTCCCGTCCTCGTCAAGAGTGATTGTTATCCCATTGGGAACTATCTCCAGCCCTTTGAATTCCAGTAGAGAGCAAAGCATGTAAACCAACAACTATTACATACACCCAGTTACTTATGCAAGAGTTCCTACAGACAACTTGGAAATGGTGTTGATGAAAGCAGACAATTAATGGCAAGATTTGTTTCATTCCAAACAAGGTAAAAAATACAAAAGTTGGTCATTGTTAGCATTTCTGATAAGAGGATACCCAAACAAACTTGAGAATTTCACATATGGAAATATTTAATCCCATATTAACCTCCCTTCTCTAAAGCACTGAGGCAGAGGAAAAAATGCCTGCTTTCATCACTATGTTTTCAAATCAAAAGGCCTGATAAACAAAAAAGGGAAACAAAAAGTAAGCTTATAGGATTTCTACCTCTAAATCGTTGAACCCAAATCTCAACATGCAAATTAGTTTTTTCTGAATGATTTCTTCCATGCAACTCATAAAGATGAAATAAACAATTTTTAATATAAGAGAAAAATCGAGTTTCCAGATGACTCATAAAGTTTTATATATATAGATATCTGCAGACAGTACTGTTTTGGCCTTCTGGGCCTCATCAGTGCAGTGCTGAAGCTAGGATGGGGGACAACCGATATGGTTACCCAAAACGATCCCACATTTGTGGTATCGTCTAATATAGAGCACATATATTTGCTGGCTAGTGATTGTTCTGGCTCTGTAGCATAGTAAAGAAAACATAAATTTCCATTTTTTTCAGGGAACATAATAAAGAAAACAAAAATTTGCTTTTGTTTCAGGGAAAAACAAATTTAATCATACAGTTCCACCCCAGCCTATTCAAATTATATCAAACTTGAGACCAGTGGGTTCAAATAAATATACTACACCTTACTTGAGACACATACTAAAAACACTGCTTGGACACAGTGGTCACATTGGGTGTAGAATTCAGTGCAATAACTCAACAAAGATGATACAAAGTGTACAGGAAGGGAATTCTTCTTTTTGGAGAACTTTTGGCCATAACAGGTCCTTGAATAGTTAACGTTCAAACATACAATTTGAGGATAAAACTCTGGTAAATAAACGACCAGAAAAATCCTGAAATACCCTGCTAAACATCCCTTTTCATAACTCTTTGCTGATGTAGGAAGGAAAAAAATTAACGAATATGTTGAACCACAGCAAAATGAAATAATCATAAAAGTTTCCAATTTCAAATATTTCAAGTTTCCAAGCTCTTCAATAGTGTCAGTAAAAATTCAAAATCTTGTGAAATTGTTTTCCTAAACCTTCAAATTCCTTGATATAATGCTAATGCTTTTACTGATTAATGAAGTTTTAAAACCATAAAAAACTGCATTCCCCAAAGATGCATTCTATGGAAAGTCAAAATATTCATGTAGTTAATTTGAATTTTCAATCACTTTAGCAGCCACTTTCAAAAAAAAGCATAGCTTGTTTTAATTTTATTAATACACTTAACATTGAGGTACAACCCAATGTGACCACAAGAAAGAAGAAAACATCATAAAGAATATCAATAAACAAAAAAAGAAAGGTATTTTACCTGAAAAGAAGTGAGCAATCTCCTCTTTCGAGCAATTATAAGGCAGTCCTCTGAGTCGCAAAACAGTTTCATGACTTTGATCAGGAGGTTGTCCCATTCTCTTACATGTGAACTCCATTTCACCATTCTTACACTCAAACACCTCAACATACCTCTTGCCGATAAAGTTGTTACGTTTGCTCAAAGCTCTGTGGAAGGAGAAAAAAATGCATCAGTCAGATCATACTGAATCATGGCCTTCCTGTAACAAATTTTTATTTCAATAAGGCCCAGCCAAATAGCCATGATTCCTTGACCAGGGTTAAAGATCAAAAGTTCTAACTTGAGACAATTTTGACATGATACATTAACTTGTTTATTGTTGTGTCTTCCTGTTGTTGTTGTCATTGTTTTTTTTTTTCCTGTTCTTTATCAGCCAAACTTTTCCTGGAAAGGATACCACCTGAACAGATTACGAGTCTTATAGTTACCAATGCCATGCTGAGCTCTCTTTTTCAAATCTAGTAGGACTTTCATCATAAATGAGTCAACAGAAACTGCCTCCATAATGCTTATTTAAAATCATCTCCAGTGAGATATCAAGACCAAGAGTCACTTACAGCCTTTCAAAACAGATTAACTATTCCCCGGCATTTCTTATCGGCCAATATTGTTAGAAGAGAATCTAATCAGTTCAACCCACTTTCAAAACAGCACAGCTTACATTATTCTGCATGTCTTTTTTCTTTACTTACTTTTCCATATCTTCAAGAGATACAAGCTCTACAAAACATTCACCACTTGGACGTCCATCAGAACTGTAGGTGAAGTGAATACCATTTTTTGGGCCATCTCTAATGTTGCAACCTAAAAAACAAATTATAGGGTAAGTTGATGTGACAATTTTCTATACCACCAAAATTTGGAAACCTATTCCAACTTTTTAGATTTGGATACATTCTTGAGGTCTTGTGATAACAATAGCCTTTGCCCAGAAGCTTTCCTCCTAATTTACCTGCAATACACTAAATTAACTCTCACCTGAGAAAAATGTTGCAACATCATCTTCAGTTGCTGACCAAGGCAGCCCACGGGCACGGACAATAAATTGCTCTCTTGGTTCAGGGTTCATGTTGTCTGAATCTCCCTGCATGTCAAGACAAATTACTTGATGAAACACAAGAATCTTTTTTTTCCCTTGTTCTAGCCTTAGGGTAATTTTGCTTTAATCAAATACAACTAGTACATACTTCTACTCAAGATATTCCCTACGGTTACAGGGTTCTCATTAAGTGCCAGCAGCCGGCTAAAAAACCGGCTACTTTAAATTTAGAGCCGCCTACTTTTCGGTGATAAGCTTGCCTCCTTATTTTGTATCTGCACGTAGATTTCAAGGTTAAAAGTCGTGTGAGTCGAACGAGTAATACTTGAAAGCTGTTTTCAGCAGCAAAACGTATTACGCAATGCCAATGCGTGCCTCCTACCTTCTGCAAAATTCCACTGACCGGTGTTTGTTGTCAACAAGTGCGGTGTGACGTTCGGCATGTTAGAAGAAGGCAGGAATTCTTATTATGTAATTAATTATAGAGTACCCATGAGTAAAAGAAAACCGACTTCAAGCCAGCCTGGAATAGATCGATATTTCTGTAAATCACGAAGAACGGAAAGCCAAGTAGATGAAGGTGAGAAAACAGCCAGTGATAGCGATCGGCAAACACCAGCGATTC